AAACGCACGCAGAAGGTCTCCAGAGGAAGGGGGGGGGCCCTCTGGGCAAAGCCCTCCTCCTGTTGGCACCTGTTTCTGTCTGTCGGTTCCGCCCTCCCTCTCCTTCCTGCTCTCCTTTCCTCTCTCCTGTTTCTCCTTTACTTTCTTCCTCCTTTCCTTTCCTTTCCTTTCCTTTCCTTTCCTTTCCTTTCCTTTCCTTTCCTTTCCTTTCCTTTCCTTTCCTTTCCTTTCCTTTTCCCTAACTCCCTTTTCTCCTTCCTTCCTTCCTTCCTTCCTTCCTTCCTTCCTTCCTTCCTTCCTTCCTCCCTTCCTCCCTCCCTTCCTCCCTCCCTCCCTCCCTCCCTCCCTCCCTCCCTCCCTCCCTCCCTCCTTTCCTTCTTTCCTTCCTCTCTCCCTTCTTCCCTCCCTCTCAGGGCCCAGCACCTCCATGGTCAGGACAAGCACTGGACAGAGCTAAGGCGAGGCCAGGCTTACCTAAGAGCACTTGTTTCACCTTATTTCTCCTCTCCGACAGCCCTGAGGGTTGGGGCCACCTCTCCGCCCTCATTTCACAGACAGGACTATTGGAGGCCACTCAGAGTTCTACAGTGGCTCCGCAGTGACAAGGCAGGGGTCACATTGTTGAAGGTCACATTCTTCCTCTGGTCCCATCTTGCTTCTACTTTTCGTTAAAAGTTCTTTCTTCTGGGGTGGGGTGGGGAGGAGGTCACACCTCATGGTGCTCGGGGATGAATCCTGGCTCTGTGCTCAGGAGCGACCTCTGTGGTGCTCAGAGACCATATGTGGTGCCAGGGATTCAAACCCTGATGTAAGGCAAATGCCTTAACCCCTGTACTGTCTCTCTGGCCCCTGAACTTCCTTCTACCTAAGACTTGGAGTATTTCCCAAATCCTGTCCCTTGCCACCTTTAACGACTCTAGCATCTCTGCACTCTCTTTGTCCTCAATCAGAAATTATCTATGATCACTGCCCCACATTCACAGTTAGATTTCTGGAAAGAGTTGTTTTTAAGAAGACCAAAGGGAGAACCAGATACACCCACAAATAATAGGGAGCTCTGAAAGACATTTTCTCTGTAACATAGAAAAGATTATAAATAATCAGAGTGGCTCTGGGTATATGAAAAATAGAGACTATTGGGTCAACCACAGAATACATATTCTTTTAAAGTGCACATAAACAGGAATCAATGCCATTAATTAAGTAGCTTAATGAGGGGTTGGGCAATAGTACATCAGGCAGGGCACTTGCCTTGCATGTGGCCAACCTAGGTTTGCATGGCCAACCCGGCATCCCATACGGTCCCCTGAGCTATCGGGAGCAATCCCTGAGCTCAGAGCCAAGGGTAAGCCCTGAGTACCATAGAGTGTGACCCCCCCAACCAAGCAAACAAAAAAGTAGCTTAATGAGAGCTGAGATCAAAGAAAGAATGGCCATAAGGAAATCAAACTGAAAGTCTGTTTCAAGGCATAGAAAATCCCAGTATTAGACTGATGGCTGATGGTGGCCTTGGTGCTGTGGTGGCCCTGTGTCCTGGTTCTACTAGCAGCACCTGCTGGTCATGGCACTCTGCTTGCAGGAGTCTGGGGGTCTCCCTTCATGGGGGATGACTCTGTACACAGGATATGTCTTCATGCTAGGAGAGATCTCTGAGCACAGAGTCAGGAGTAAGTCCTGAGCATCAGTGGTTTGCCTCCACCCCAAAAAGGATGTGTCAGTATCAGGGCCAAACGAGATTCCCATAAGCTCAGATGTTAGCACCACAACCATAACTTGTGGCTTCGGCTAAGAATGTGATTTAAGGTGCCTGAGAGCATTATAACTGAAGGAGAGTAAACTTGGCGAGTGCCTGTGTGTGTGTGTGTGTGTATGTGTGCGCGTGCGCGCGCACTTGAGCATGCATGCATGCATGCGGACACACCACACCAGCTATGCTCAAGGCCTATTATTCTTGGATCTGATCCAGGGGTCCCTCCTGGAAGTGTTTGGGAGACGCTATGCAGTGCCAGGTGTTGATCCTGTCTGGCTGCATGCGAAGGAAATACCTTACCTCCTGTCCTTGGCTTGACTGTAAAAAAATCTTGAAAGAAATTAGGGACTGACCCCAGTGCAGTGTCAAGGAGCCCCATTATAATCCAACTGAACTCAATCCAAGACACATAATGGGTTGAACATAGAGGAATCAGCAAGCGTTTCTACCATGTTCTCAAACAGAAGGGAAAGAATGAGGATATCTGAGATGATCAGAGGAAGCTGCGTGTTTTCAAAGCGGAGAGTGGGCCAGAGAGAGCACAGGGGGGAGGGCGCCTGCCTTGCAGGTGGCTGAGCTGGGTTCAATCCTTGGCACCTCATATGATCCTCTGAACACTGCCAGGAGTAATCTCTGAGCACAGAGCCAGGAATAAACCTGAACACTACCCACCCTCCCTTCTCCCCAAAAGAAGAGAAGAGCGAGTGAGAGAGCAGTGTGGTGCTCATGTCAATTTGGGGGAGCACGGGTGGTGGGTGGGAATAATAACCAGTTCATCTTAGAGAAAAGGTGGCTCAGGGCAGAACCCAGTTGCCGCCTCTTCCCAGAAGCGACTGGGCTCTCTTGCCCCGGGACCCAACCCGAACCCCAATTCCGCCCTGGAGCTACCCCCAGCCTTGACCCCAGGTGTCCCAAACGTTCCCAGTGATCCTAACTGTGCTGCAATGACCTTTCCATCCACAGTGGCTGGAGTGGGCTTTGCCATGAGATGAAGAAACAAGCAGACAAAGGAGCGGAGACCAAGCTGGGTCAGTCTGAACTCTTCCCGCTCTGGATTTCCTGCTAGCTACGCCAGGAACCTCTTGAAATTATGAAGATAATGCAAAGAGAAAAGAAGATAAAAACCACCATTTAAGTGCAAGGGCTTCCAAGCCCTAGGGGCAGGAGTGGGGGGGGGGGAAGAGGTTAGATGGAAGATAAAAGTGAAATTTGTTCTGGCGACCAGCTGCTGAACAGGAAGTGGGCTCTGCAGCGGAGAGTCACATTTTGTACCCCTGGTGGAACAAGTGGGGGTGCGGTGGGAGTAGGGCGGGTGGGCTTCAGGGAGCAGGTGACTGTGGATGAGCTAAAATGCAAGGGAATCATGTTCAGTCTATAGTTGACTTTCAGCATGCATCTCCCATCCTGGGAGGATCCTCCCAACACCCTTTATTTGGTGCTCCTTTCTGTATCTGAGCTGCCTTTCCCCCTAGCCTGTGCGGCTGGCCTCCAAGACATAGAGTAAACCTCCTGGTCCTTATCTCGGCTATTCTTGGGTGTTAGTCTCCCCACCCAATGCCTCTTTTACAAACCACAGCACCCAAAAGGAGAGAGAGAACAAAAGGGAATGCCCTGCCACAGAGGCAGGTTGGGATGGGGGTGGGAGGGGAGGGTGGGAGGGGATACTGGGATCAGTGGTGGTGGAGAATGGGCACTGGTGGAGAGATGGAGAGATACTCAATCATTGTATAACTGAGACCCAAGCACAAAAATTTGTAAGTCTACAACTGTACCTCATGGTGTTTCACTAATAAAAATTTTTTAAAAAATTCAAGAGACCAACTTTCCCGGGTGTCTGGAGGGAGGAAGGATATTGTCCTTGGGCAAGGCGCAATGGGATGGGATGGAGGTGTGAGGGAACGGTTCTGGGGCTGTGGTGGTTCATCTGACAAAAATATCTGGGTGCCAAAGAGACAGGTGGGAGATGGCCCTAGAGAGAACCCACAGCTGGGTGACCCGTCCCTGTGTTTTCTCTTAAGGAGTTTGGTTCTCTCCTCTGCTCTGAAAGGAAAAGGTTGTCGAACAGAAACACCAATCATCAACCAGAAACTCTCAAGGGAGAAGTGGAGTCTTAAAGGAACAGAACTCATCTACAGTGGGGAGACGAAACAAGCACTAAAAAAAAAATATTATCGAGGTCACACCCAGTGATGCTCAGGGGTGACTCTGGGCTCTGTACTCAGGAATCACTCCTGGTGGTCCTTGGGAACCATATAGGATGCGGGGGATCAAAACTGGTTCGTTAAGTGCAGGGCAAACGCCCCCCCCCATCCACCCACTGTATTATCCCTCCAGGTCTGAAATTTGTTTTTGTTTGTTTGGAGGCCATACTCAGATACTCCCTTCCAGGTGCTCACTCCTTGCTGGGGATCAAACCCAGGACTTCCTGCCCATGCCCTGCAGTGTTCTGGGCCTCTTTTCTGCCCAGGCCCAGGACAAGCTCCACACCCTCGCCTCCTCTGGCTTCTGGTTCTTTACTGGGCTAAGCCAGGTTCTCTGCTGTCTGGGGTTTGAGTGCTGGACCCCTCAGGCCCAGAGGGCAGCCAGCAGGTAGCGATCACCGGAGGGACCTGGAGCACCCCAACCAACACCCTGTCAGCACCTCAGTTCAGCACCCAGGACAGTTTCTTCCCCTGCCCTCAGCTTCCTCTTAGCCTTGAGATGAAACAAGTCGGTAGCAACCTGCTCTGAGCCTCAGGTGAGCGACTCTTGACCCCCTCCATGCATTAAGGCTATCACCCCAGGACCCCACAGCAGCACCTGGCTGGGTTTCCTGAAGTCGGGGATGGGGAAGCGGGTGCCCGCTCCCCACCCCCACCCCGGAGTGATATCCCCCCCACCCCACATGAGGCAGGTGTCAGCGCTCACGCACACAGGTAGCTTCGCCCTCGCCTCTGCACCGACCCACACTGGGGTGCTAAGCCCGCGGGCGCCCTGGCCAACCCATCCTTAATTAAGTTCCTTCCTGAGCAGGCCAGGTGCGCCCTCGGCAGCGCCGTGTTAATTCCCGGCCCGGGGTCACGGTGGCTCCGACCCCTTCCGGGCTGCAGTGTCCTCGCGCTGAGCCCTACCTAGAAACCCCCCTCCCGCGCCCCCGCGCCCCACGGCCCCCCTTCTCCCATGCGCGCCGGTTGCGCTGCCAGGAAGCGCCCCGCCCGCCTGCCAGGCGGGTATAAAAGGACCCCGCGAGCCACCTCTGGCCAGGCGGGGGAGCAGGGGCTGGAGTCACGCGCCCACCGGAGCGTCGCCCCGACAGGTAAGGGCCTGGCTCTGGTCCCGGACTCCCGGGTTCGGTCCCGAGTTCCCGAAACTTTCTGCCCGGAGCGAGCGCGGCATGCGAGGGCCGCGGGGAGCCGCGTGGGGGCCGATGGCTGGGGCAGGGGGCGCCTTGCAGGGGCTGGAGCTGCGGCTCCCGGGAACTCCGTGGGGGCGGAAAGGGACAATCGGGGGTCCGAGGTGGAAAAAGAGGCTGGGAGGCTGCAGGATCCCTAAGACTCTTCTTCCCGCTCTCTGGGCAGGTCTCGGGGGAGGGAGTCGGGTCTCTGCTCCCCGCTTTCTTTCTCCCAATTTTCTGGGCGGGTGTCATTTCTTCCAGGATTCCGTCGGCTCCAGCGCAAATTAACGCTGGGACGCGGCAGGCGGGGAAAAGGCTGGAAGTTGCAACCCGTTCCTTGCATTTCAGAGTTTGGGGGAGCTTGCGAGCCCGTACCCTCGCTTCCGCAGCCCGCCTCGGCGCACACACGGGTCTGTGGGTCGGTCCTCTGGCCCCCGGACCCAGTTAGAGAGGAGGCGGGCAGGGAGCTGTCCGCGGTTCTGAACCACCGTGCTCGCCCGCCGCCCCGACCGTCCGCGACCCAAACGCCGCTGAGTTGAGGGAGGCCCCTGTTGGGGGGGGGGGGGGGTTCCGTGAAGGGTTGGGGGGTAGTCTTCAGGACAGTCGCACCCCTCAATTTCTGGTCTACAAAGGGGGGCCTGACCCACACAGGGGCCAAGCAGAGAGACGGGGGTGGGGGGCTGTGGTTAAAATCAAGCAAGGGTTATGGAACAGAGAGACAGGTATCATCTCTTAGGTCCAGGAGAAAATCCTCAGTTCCTGGCAGGCCTAGGCTCAATCCCTGGCAACTCATGGTCCCCCAAGCGATCCCCAAATGCAAACGAAAAGGATAATAGATATTTAATGACCGAGAATGCCTTTGCCACTTTTGTTTTAGGGTTTGATACAGGTGCAACCTGGTGTGAGAACAAAATTTTATAGACAGGTAAGACCAGTGTATGATGGGAGAGTAGCAGGATGTCCTGCCTGGCCCCCAGGGGTTCACCTGGGAAATGAAAATGGGTATAACCCCGATATAAAGTCAGTGTCCAGATGAACAAGGCGTGCATTTCTAGTCATGACTTTTGATGATTGGATTATGACCCTCTTGTCACTTACAAGGAGCACAGTTCTTTCTGTCTTCACTTTGTTGCCAAAGGAAAAGAAAAAGATGCAGGTAACAGAAAATTAAAAAATATATTTAAGCCAGAAGAAAAGGAGTTGCTTTCAGGGAATTCACTCTCCCCCTGCCCCAACAGAATGAAGAGGGGGTTGAGAATGTTCCCGGCTCAGCCTCACAGAATCTGGGCAGGAGGAGAGGAAGTGGCAGGGTTTTGGGGTATCCCGAGGTCCTGAAAGCAGGGAGTAGTTCTCTTAGCAGATGGAAGTCATTGTGGAATGACCAGCTTTGAAGAGAACCTAGGGACAGTCAGAGCGGGATGTTTTCGTTTCTCTGTTTTCTGGTTCGTGGTTTTCTGCTTTTGTAAATCTGGGAAATTTTTCTGAACCACATGGGCTGTGTGGCCTCAGAATTTTCATCTACCTTTACTGGTTTACCACGTCAGGCTTCATATCCGAATTGCAGCATCCCAAGGCCACCTGAGCAGGGCCGTCCGCGGGAGACGCAGACGCACCGGCGCACTGGCCGCCAGCGCCATCTAACGGCGGCTGTGCATACTCGCAGGCGCACTCGCAACCTGTGGGAAGGAGTTCTAGCGGGCAGCTCAGGACCAAAGGTGTGGGGCGGGGTGGAGAGAAGGAAGTGACTTTCTGGAGTAGAAAGTGAGCACCAGGCAGATCTTTCAGTTTCAAAGTCTTCCCTATTAAAAGGACTTGAGGGGCTGGAGCAATAGCACAGCGGTAAGGGCGTTTACCTTGCACCCGGTGGACCCGGGTTTGATTCCCAGCATCCCATATGGTCCCCTGAGCACCGCCAGGGGTAATTCCTGAGTGCAGAGCCAGGAGTGACCCCTGTGCATCGCTGGGTGTGACCCAAAAAGAAAAAAAAAGGACTTGGAAAAAATAAATCAAAAGGACTTGACCGACATCTCCGTGTCTAAGGGATTCCTTTCGGCAATCTATTTTTTTTTTTAAATAGGAACTGTCTGTTAGGACATCTCTCATCCACCTTCATGTGAATTGCTTTTCTCCACGACTTAGATTTTTTTCCTAACAGCAGGTTTGAGAAGATCTTCTCAGGTCCCCAGTGAGTGCTGGATTAGAGGTGAGCTGATGTCAGGATTGGTGTCATTTTAAGGGAGACCGAGCTGAGGAAGGGAAGAGGCAGGGCAGAGTGCTGAGGGCCTTGGTGCCGGGGCCTCCCCTCCCCACTGCTCCTGACCACTGCAGTCCGGCACATGCCCCCAGGAGGGGCCTGACCTCCTGCGTACAGTTGTCCCCCTCCTTCCTTTAAGCCCGCACAGTGACTGCACATTCCAGCCCTCTCAGACTTCGAGAGGCTCTGAGAAGAGGCCTGTCATGTGATGGGGAGATGAGCCCCTTGGAAAGAAACAGGATCTGCTTTCAGAGTGGATCTCTGGAAGGTCCTCAGGGAAACCGTGATGGCCTCAGTGGGATTGGCTGTATTGGTCAGGGGCTTTGTCTGTGAACCAGCAGGAAGCTCTTTCCTGGTGGAGAACAGACCTCACCGAGCAAATTGTCTCTCTCCCCGGTTACTCGGTTGGCTCCTGACCACAGCCCTCTGCCATTCACAGGGCCTCAGTTTCCCCTCCTCTAGGACAAGGACTGGAACAAAGGATCCCTAAAACAGCTTCCAACTCCAATTGCCTTTGGGAGGGGCTATCTGTCTTTAATAGGAGATAAAGGAAAACTTGCATGGAGGCCACCCAGGTCCCACTCCCCTGCCTCCCTCCATGGACGCCAACATCAACCATCTCCCGGACCGGCTCCTGTCCTCAAAGAGCCCTGGGCGCCACCAGCGAGTCTTGTTACTGTTGGCTGCAGGCCCTTCCTGGTGAGTGGCCAACATTGTTCTGCTCCTACAGGGGTCCCCCCAATCTTGTTTGCCTTCTGCAGAGCCTCCGCCTGCCTGGAAGATGCCGAGACCGTGCCGTGGCCACCCGGGGGCCCTGCTGCTGGTCTTGCTGCTGCACGCCTCCGTGGAAGTGCGTGGCTGGTGCCTGGAGAGTGGCCGCTGCCAGGACCTGACCACGGAGAGTGACCTGCTGGTACGTGGGCCACGGAGGGCCCTGGGGCTTGGGGGCTGCAGCAGGGTGCACAGGGAAATGCAGTTCTTTGCCAGTTGTTAGGTAGAAGCAGGCCTCTTGGGCTAAGTCACAGTTGAACTGAGGAGGGAAGGGAGCCAGTTCAGGAAGATGGCGCTCGTCCACACTTTGATCCTCTGAACTTTCTGCCCCATTTTCTTGGATGAAGCCCCTGCTCCATTTTAACTAAATATTAAAATAATATTTAAAATAATATACTATTAAAATAATAGCCAGGTTAATAACTGCACTGCCCCTCAAGGGAGCCTACATTTCCAGTCTTTTACACTACCCCGTTATCCTTTCAAGTATTTTTCTTTTAATTTATTATTCAATTGAGGGAGTATGTTACTGTGGGGTTGGGGATCCAACCCAGGACTTATGTGAGCCACGAGCGCCACCCTGAACCATGTCCCCAGTCCCAAAGGATTCCTGTTTAAGTAATCTCAGGTCTCTGTGATTGTCACTGCATTTTCTCCCCTTGCCAACTTCTACCAGTTACAAAGTCAGGTAAGTGGGATCACAAATCATTTCTAAGGAAAGATGGGAAATCCCCGATCCCATAATCCTCCAGTACTGACCATCTGCAGCCTTTCCAGAGCATGCAAAGGGGAGCGCTCCTTAAATCACCATTGGGGTGTGTGTGTGTATCCATTCCAAGGACTAAGACATGGTGCTGCTTCCTGCATGTCAGTTGTGCAGCTGTGTGCAGGTGGACAGAGGCTTTCTTGGCAGCTAAGCACCGTCTCATTTTCTATCCTTGGGGAATATAACATAGAAACTAAGAACCTGGGAAGGTTGTGTGTTCAGACAGAGCCAGCCACTGAGTGGATCTCCCTCCCGTGCAGCCTCCCCTGCGGAGTGTTGCAGTCAGAGGGGCATTTTCCAAACCCTTGGGTGATGAGTGCCACAGGGGCAGTGTCTGGGTCCAGTCAGCACAGACCTACACCCCACCACCCCTGCACTGGAAACAACCCTGTTTCTCCCCTTCTTCCAGTCAGGAGCAGGTGACAGGGAAGGAAGTCAGAGAGGGGAAAGGAATAGCAGAGGAGAGAGATCAGAAGACTTGACCGTACAGCAGGGAAGGGGCAGATGGGACAGGGAAGGCTCGCAGGGACATGAGGGCAGGGCCACCGTTAGGGCTGCAGGGTGTGTGTTTGTGGTGCTCGGGGGCCCCTCTAGAGGTGCTCGGGAACCATGAGGTGCCAGGGATGGAACCCCGGCCACCTGCCTGCAAAGCATACACCCTCATAACTCTCGAATCATCTTGGAGTCCCACTTCCTTCTACACTGGAGTTGAAAGTCCCGCCCAAACTCAACGGAACCATTCTTATTGGTCAGTTCCCCGCAAACGCCAACACCTGCCACCTGCCGATTCCGCCCTGGCAGGTACACCAGGGCTTATAAGGTCTTGGCCTGCCAAAGAGTCCAGAGCTAAGTACACAGGGGAAGGCGCTTGCAACCCCCAGATCAGGAGCTCAGTGCGTACCAAGAGGATGGGGGGCATTTGCGGTCCTGGCCCAGCCAGTGACTTCAGCTGGGGGAAGAGCCCAGCAAGTCTCCCACGTGGTGGGGTGGGCGGCAGGGGTTGGACGTTGGACGCGGGCCTGGGTCTCCCCGCGGGGGGCGTTGGGGTGGGGGGCTGCGGGGGCGCGGCCCGACGACGTCGTCACGGTGCCTCTCCCCGCTAGGCCTGCCTCCGCGCCTGCCAGGCCGACCTGGACCTGACGGCCGAGACGCCCGTGTTCCCCGGCAACGGCGACGAGCAGCCGCTGGCCGAGGACGCCCGGAAGTACGTCATGGGCCACTTCCGCTGGGAGCGCTTCGGCCACCGGAACGGCAGCGGCGGCGGCGTGGGCAGCGCGAGGCGGGAGGAGCCGCCGGCCGCGGGGGGCGATGAGGACGCGGCGGCGGCGGCGTGGGGGGCCCCGCGGCCGGGCAAGCGCTCCTACTCCATGGAGCACTTCCGCTGGGGCAAGCCGGTGGGCAAGAAGCGGCGGCCCGTGAAGGTCTACCCCAGCGGCGGCGCCGACGACGACGACTCGGCCGAGGCCTTCCCGGGCGAGTTCCGGAGGGACCTCCTGGAGGCGGCGGCGGCGGCCGCGCCCGAGCCCGCCCGGGACGGCCCCGACGGCCCCGACGACGGCCCCGAGCCCGGCCTGCTGGCCCAGCTGGCCCAGCTGGCCGCCGCCAAGAAGGACGGGACGCCCTACAGGATGGAGCACTTCCGCTGGGGCAGCCCGCCCAAGGACAAGCGCTACGGCGGCTTCATGACGTCCGAGAAGAGCCAGACGCCCCTGGTGACGCTGTTCAGGAATGCCATCATCAAGAACGCGCACAAGAAGGGCCAGTGAGGCCCCCCCCCATGCGCCCCCCCAGGCCGCGAGGCCCCACGGCAACCCCCCGCCCCCCACACCCGCGCGCGTGCACCTGCCTCTGCCCTCCTGTCAGCAGGGACAATAAAACGCATCTCATCCAATCCCGAGTGGCCTTGTCCATCCTTGTCCATCCGTTTCACCGCCTCCCCCCACCCCGGCTTCGCCTTAGCAGGTGCCTCCCCACCTTTCACTCACTCTCCTTCTTCCCCGTTCTCTCCAACTGAGCCGCTTCTGGGGGTGCGGCTGGCAGCCTCTTGCACCCGGCTGCCCACTGCAGGGTTTCTGCTTGCTCCCTGCGTCATGGCAAGCAGGTGGCTGCAGCCTCCCCCGGGCTTGGTGTTCAGGGCTCCGGGAAGGTGTCTCTGCAATACTGGGGCTATGGCTTGGCAAATCACACCCTTCTCCAGATACTCACAGACTCATGGCTAACAATCTATGGCCACTTATACATAGACAACCCCCCCTCCCCAACACACACACACACACACACACACACACACACACACACACACACACAGACGTTCAGGAAGTTCAACACTCAACAGGAATCAGCCTGGGAGCCCTGATGAGAGTCCCGGTGACGTGGGTCTAGATTCTCTGATGACACCACCGGAGCCTTCCCACCTGAGGACGCTCCCATGCTGGGAGTCGTGGGCCCGTGTTTACAGCCCAGGCGCAGTCTTTCCCAACCATCTTCCTTCTGAGGCAAGTAAAGTAATGGCGGGTGGGGGTGGCTAAATGTCAGCCATTAATGTTGGTATTTTCAGATTCTGTTGACATCTCTAAAAACCATTTACTTTAAAGAAATCAAATCGACAACCATGTGGTGACATCATTAACATTTATTTGGAAAGGGCATCATGAAGGCTCATGGGGAAATCACAACTAACAGTCCTAAGAATGATCTTGCTAAGAGTCTTTCTTCATACACTCCCCCACCCCACCCCCCTTTCCCCCTTCTTTAAAATAAAACTAATTTTGAGTCAATAAGTTCAAATACAGAAAACTGCCCCAGGCACTAATTCTGCACTCAGGTATAAATACACCACCTATTGGATACATCACGAGGAACTACGTGCCCACCAGGGCACACATACTCTTGGCCAGGCGAAGGCCCAAGGGATGCAGAAACATTCCAGTGTTTGGAATTTGCAACTTGGGTGGTCTGAATCAAGTTATGGGGGAGGCGTTCCAAGAGGGATGGTGATTAAGGGCCCGGAATGAAAAAAAAAACCTGGTCATCAAAAACTGGAAGGTTTCTCTGAGGGCCCAGAAAGCCCCAGAGGCCTGGCCCGCAGCCAGGGAAGGTCCTGCAGAACTGATCCAGTTCTTAGGCCAGTTTAGGTCTGGTTGGTGCTAAAGATGACCATGGCACGTGGCCTTCCAGCCTCAGAGCCTGCCCACTTCCAGCTGCCCACACCCCACCATGGCCATCCTTCTGCCATTAAGCCTCGGGAGGGTTTGGGATAAGGGGAATGTTTATGAGATGTCTAGGGTTCTTGGGATGAAAGGGCTCGCACTGCCCATCTGTGTCCCCTGTGATGTAGGGAGATGTCTTGTTTTGACCACTCCCTGCAGGGTCCAGAGATGCAGGTGAGGTCTGCACTGACAAGCCACCACTTTGGACCTCGGCACTCAGATTAACAACTCAGGCTTAGTCCTTCCCCAAGGGCGCCCAGGAGACGTGGCCTCACTTCTTAGAGCTGCTCCGGTGGCTCCAGGGAGACATGGGGACAGGGACAGCAACTGGAAAGTTTCTCTGGGGGCCCAGAAAAGTCCAGAGGCCTGGCCCAGAGCCAGGGAAGGCCCTACAGGGCTGATCTGCCTCTTGGGTCAGTTTAGGGAAGAACACCAGCCCCGACCCTTTCAGACTTCTTCCCGTGCTGCGGTTGCCCCCAGGAGCACTCTCCCTGTTGCTCAGATGTTTGAGAGTCTGAGGCGGAGGCATGACACAGACTTTTCTAATTCTTCTTCTACCTGTGTGGGTTGTATTTCTGGTGAGGAATCAGAAGTCACTTATTTAAAGAAATCATGTATTTCTACTCTTCAGAAAGGGACAGGGAATAGGCATAGGGCAGTGGGGACTCCACAGCCAGAACAGAAGGGGTATCTGGGGTCACACAGTGTTTCCTGCCGACCTTTCGCATGTCCACGACTCAAGCAGCTGAACTGACCCAAACTGCAGCTCCCAGGTCGCGTGCAAACCACTCTCCAGTTTCTGCCTCATGCACAAAGCAGGGCTGCTCCATGGGTCCTCAGGAGAAGCTGATTTGGATGGCCTTGCTACCCCAATGTCACAGACAAGGGGATGAAAGGTCCTGGGTACTGCCAGGCTCTGGGGGGCTTGGAGACAGGAAATGTTCTCCCAGGCTGAGGCCTAGACGCCCACCATCTCAGTCTCTCCTGGGGAGGAGACTGCTTAGGTCACCATCATACTCTCTGGCCATGTAAACACTCACCTCCACTTTCTGAGGCTCTCTAAACTTGACGAAGTGTGTTTGGCCAGGATCCTGTTCTATTTCACATCCACTGGGCAGATGCCCTGGAATTATAAGCCTAAAGGGAAACTGAGACGAAGGCACCCGGGACAGTCAACGGCCAGTTCTCCCAAAGCAGCCGCAGCAATGGGAGAGGCTGCTGCATCAGACAGAACCAGAGGAAAGAGCTTAAATGTATGACAAAGGGGGAGTCACATGTTTTTGTCACTGTTTTCCCAGGGTGGAGATCAGGGCCACAATGAAATGGATGCGAGGGTTCCAGTGCTGCCTCTAGCAAGAGGTGCCAAGGCCACTCCCCACGGCCACCAGTCCCAGTGCCCTGAAAGGCAGCAAGTGGCCATGGGGGAGGCCTCTGCAGCCTAGCGGGTGTCGGAATAAAACACGGTTTCTGTGGGAGCCAGCAGGAGAGCAAGGAGAAGGAACTGGTAAGAAGGAAATCAAACTGAGGTTTGAGATTTAGGTTGTCTGTGAAGTGTTTTCCAAAGGCCATTTGTCTTCTCATTGGTTTCAAGTTTTATTAACTTTTTAAAATTTATTTTATTTAATTATTCACTTTGGGGCCACACCCAGCAGTGCTCAGGGTTATTTCTCTGTGCTCAGAAATTATGCCTGACGGAGCTTGGGGGACCATATAGGATGCCGAGGATCAAACCTGGGTTGGCTACATTCAAGGCAAATACCCCTACCTGCTTTGCTATCTCTCTGGTCCCTATATTTAATGCGGCTTCTTAAAGAGAGTGACATGAGAAATTTAAGTTCATGCTTGTGAATTTGGATTGAGGAGAAGCAAAAAGCTGTGGGAGGTGAGGACAAACCTGCCTCTAAGCCATACTCAGGCTTCCTGGGAGCCAGGGTCCCACCGGCAGAGACCTGAATGGGAGCCTCAAGGAGGGTCAATGAGCGCCTCTCCTATCTGGTGCCAGTGCTGGGAAATGCCCTCATTACAGTTCTCCATGTCTGCAAAATCTGTCCTATCAATCCACCGGGCTCCCACTGGGCATTTAGAACACATACAAGGCGGGGAGGTGGGGGAGTAACTCAAGGGGGTCCTGAGAAGCCTGCACTCTTAGCAGAAACAGCCGGCTTCTGACCCCACGCTACACTGCCCAGAGCTGGACTCTCCCAGAATTCCTTTGGTCAAGCAAATCAGCTTTAAGGGAATTTCTCTAGAGTGGAATCATTTGACCATTCACATCTTAGGGGAACCGTATCAGTCCAGAGAAGCTATGAGAAGTTTGGCTGTAAGAGAAGAAAAGGGCTATTTTCAATTTGGGGCAGGAATCCCTTAGAGGCGCAAAGGCCCCCTCGGGGGAGACAGGGGAGTGGGACAGGAAGCGCCTTCTCTGCCCCTGCCCCACATGTGCACAGCACAGATAGACACAGACCCTCGGGGTGGGGGGGAACACCTGCAGCAATGGCTCTGTCCTGCCTCTCCCCCATTCCAGACTTCCCAAAGGGTGCAGGATTGAAGGGGCCGGAGAGATGGCTCAGTGGCCCAGCACATGCTCCGTCTGTGATAGGTCCAGGTTCGAGCCCGGGCACCCCGCATGGTTCCCTGACATCACCGGGAATGGCTCCCCATTCCCAACTCTGCTGGATGTAGCCCCCAAACCAAACCAAACCAAACCAAACCAAACCAAACCAAACCAAACCAGAAAACCCACTAAATATCCAAGAGCGAGGAAGAGGCCTCAGGTGAGGAGCTGGATTCTAAAAGGTGTCACCTGGGAGTCACGAGGTGCCTCTTGCCCCAGCTGCTGAACCACCCCTGCACTTCCTCCTTCCGTTCTGCCTTCCCTGGACTCAGGGGCTGTAGAAACACTTTGGGATCCTCAGGAAGAAAGGCATCCAAGAGAAGGAACGCAACTCGGACAAACTTCCAGAAGGAAAGTCACACAGGAGGGGAGCAAAGGCCAAGGCCACCTTCGGCCTGTCGCTTGTCTGTAGAGGCAGGTCCTCACGGGCCACCCAGACCCTCCACTTTACCCTCTTGGCCCCGAAGTCTCTCCCAGCCCCTACTACCACTTCCCCTCATACAGGTTCAACACTAATACACGACTGAAGGAAGCACAAAGAGAGTCCTGGAAGGAGGGGCTGCAAAGGGGAAGTGACCCCAAAGACATGGGGACCTCAGGCCCTAGAGGGGGGAACGGAGGGGGCTCCGGCTGGGGGGCAGCCATCTCTCTTGCAGTTCTTCCAAGGTCATCTCCTCTGTCCCACTGTGTCTCTACCTAGTCCCCTCCTGGGCCAAGAGCAGCTCTGCCCGCCCCCGCCAGGTCACCCCAGGAAAGATGGTGACTTGCCACAGCAAGCAGGCACCTCAACCTCAGTCTCTCTCCGAGACCCCCGCTATTCTCGGTCCCTGCTGACATAAGGGAGGAGACAAAGGTACAGGTGAGATGCTTGCTGGGTCCCAGGGGTAAGTGGCTGATGTCCCTTGAGGATGACAGGCAGCAGGAGGGTGCAGAGTGCTTCTGGCCCAGCCTGGGAGGTGTGACCCCTGTGTACTTTTGTTCCAAGATGGCAGTCGGGGTTCCATGGCATTCGGGTAGCGAGCTCCTGAGAGGTGCTGGTCTCCCGGAATTCAGTACACACAGAGATCGGGGAACTTCATCTCATACACGGGGATGGAGTGGTTCTGAGGCTGGCCATAGGCGGCGGTGATGGTTCCTGAAGGGCTCGGAGGGGGCCTGGGCAGGGAGAGGAGGAGCCCGCATCAGGCGGGGGGCCTGGGGTCCCACTCTGGTGCAGCAGCAGCTGATGGGGGTTTCTTCTTTGAACCAAAGGCCAGAGACTTGGTCCCTCCGTGATTCCTGAGTTTCAAGTGGTTTCTAGAACCTAGCACTGCTCAGGGTTTACTCCTGGGTTTGTGCCCAGGGATCATTCCTGGCTGAACTCGGGGAACCTAGTGGGGTACCGGGAATCGAATTGAGGTCAGTCGTGTGTGAAGCAAACTCCCAACCCAGTTGGGAGTTTCTACTTTTCTTTTTTGGTTTTGGGGCCATACCCATTAGTGCTCAAGGTTTATTCCTGGCTCTGTGCTCAGGGGACTTGGGGACCATATGGGGATCAAAATGGGCCTGGTCACATGGCACGGGAAGTATGCAATTTCTCTGGCTCCCTTAAATCCAGCTTGACAGGGGGACTGTACAGGGATGCTGTTGCCTAGGAAACAAAGAATGACCCATCCACTGGGAGAAGGCCCTGCTCACTGTGGTAAGGACACGCCCACTATGGGAAAGCCCCGCCCACCGCAGTAAAGGCACGCCCACTGTGAGAAGCCCCACCCACTGTGGTAAGGACACGCCCACCGCAAGAAAGTCCCCGCCCACTGAGGAAAGGACACGCCCACTTGCAGGAGGCCCCGCCCACTGTGAAAGGAGCACTTGGGCTGCTGAGCCACACCAGGAGGGATTGCTACTCACCGAATGGTGATTTCAAAGATCTGGTTGAGTTTGCTCTGCAGCAGTGAAGCCTACACACAAAGAGAGAGACATCAGCGGAGGGTCTGCCAGCCTCTCCCCACCTTCCAGGACACTGGGCCACGGGCGACCTCTGAAAGGGAACCGTGGGAGGGGTTTCTGGCACTTCTCTGATCAGGCAGAGCGTCCCAGAGACGAGACAGCAGACAGGCCAGGACGCCAGGGCATGCCAGCAGGCTGTTCCCTGAGCTACTCCAACAAGGAGAAGGCACATCAGAGATGTTAATAAGGGGGACACGGCACTCCCTCCGCCCCCTGGCTGGCAGATGTCAACCCTCTCTCCTTCTCTTGGCCCTGGCTTCTTCCCTGATCACTCGGCAGTGGCAGAGAATGAAATAAACAAAGGGAAGGCGCCCTGACATCCCCTCCCCCACCCCGGGTACTTGCTCAGAGGGTTCTGACTCTCTTTAAACTGTCTTGACACCAGCTGTGGGCCAGAGTTCCCTTGTCAAGTGACAAGAAAGGGTCTGGGGGAGTGTCTGGGTCATTCCTACAGCTCATGACTCACGGCTGAACCCAAATAGAGAGGCAGGAGCTCTCTGGGATGGAACTGAAACCCTGACTTCTGGGGTGCCAAGAGCTCCTAGGAACTTACTCCTTCCTTGTCCCAGGTATGGTGTGCCCCTCCCCCCCACCACTGGCACCCCACTCACCCGGGCCCCGCAGTGGGCCGCAATCTCCTCAAATGGAGCCTTCTGGAACTTCTCCACCACCTGCCGCCGCCGTTCACGCTCCTGTTCCTCCACCGCCACACTGTCCACTGCAGCACAGAGGGCCAACCCTGAGTGCCCCTCACAGGGGTGACCAGGCCCAGAGGCAGGATGCACCCGGCTACCCCTGGCGGCACTGGCCCAGTTCTGCCTGCGTCGGGCCAGCCGGCCTCCTCGAGTAGGAGTTTAAACAAGCACTGTGGTCAGGGACAGTGTAGAGGTCCAGGGTGCCACCGTGCAGGAGCCCTAGGTGTGATCCTGGGCCCACACAGTCCCTGAGCACTGCTGGGAGAGGACCCCCAAACCCAAAAACCAGTCAACCAACAAAAAGGGAGCTTACCCACTAGTGGGTGAACCCCGAAGTTGGAGTTTGGTGGCCCTAAGTGGGAGCATTGCCTTGGGGATTCACAAATAGTATGTTTGGTGTGGAAGGGAGTTGGGAGGGTATGAAACAAGCCTCAGGGCTGGAGAGATAGTTCAGTGGGTGGCGTGCTTGTCTTTCGAGAGGTGATTTGGGTTCAATCCCTGGCACCTCATACAATCTCCTGAGTCTCCCAGGAATGATCCCTGACCACAGAGCCAGGAGTAAGCCCTGAGCACCACTGAGTGTGCCCCCTCCTACCCCCAAAACAAAACAAAACAAAACAAGAAACCCTTATGAATTAAAAACACTGAACCAAACCCGGGAAACTCTGGGCACTGGAGGGGAGACAGCTCAAGAATTCAGTAAAGGGCTGGAGCAATAGCACAGCAAGTAGGGCATTTGCCTTGCATGTGGCCGACCTGGGTTCAATTCCCAGCATTCCATGTGATCCCCTGAGCACCGCCAGGGGTAATTCCTGAGTGTAGAACCAGGAGTAAGCCCTGTGCATTGCCAGGTGTAACCCCAAAAAGAAAAAAATAAAAATTCAGTGAAGAAACAGCGAGGGTGACAGTGTGGCTGGAGCCCGGGTTGGGGTCCAGCCACGAGGGCTGAGGCCCCGGGACTCCACACAGTCCTGTAGGTGACAAGGGTACGAGACAGGAGGACAGGAATGCCCCTGACTCATTTAATTACATTTTTGATTTGGGGCCATTCCCTGCAATGCTCAGGCATTACTCCTGGCTCTGCACTAGAAATTTCTCCTGGTGGTGTTCAGCGGACCATATGGGATGCTGGGGATCAAACCTGGGTGGGGGGGCGGTCAGCCCTGTGCAAGGCAAATACCTTCCTTACCTGATGTACTCTTTCTCTAGGCTCTAATTTATCATTTTTTTGGGGGGGGGAGGTGAAAGTGGTCATACCTGGCAGTGCTCTGGGTACCATATGTGGTGTCAGAGATTCAAACCTGGGTCAGCTGCATGCGAAGCAAATGCCTTCCCCACTCTACTATCTCTCCAATCCTGATGACATAGTGTGTGTGTGGGGGGTGGGGTGGGGGTGGAGGTAGGGGTGGGGAACATTCCCAGGGGTGCTCAGGGGACCACACACAATGCCATGCTCCAAACCACTGTTGCAGCCACATCCACAAGGTAAGTGTGTTCATCTGGGAAACACTCCTGGCCCCACTGGTGCCCTCTAAAGGCTCCCCCTCCTCGTGGAAGCCCGCAATGGATGTGGGTCACATGGCAGAGTGCACTGTCCTCTCAGCTTTGGGATGGGGCGTGTCCAGGGAGCTCCCAGCCTATCCACTCACATATGTGTGTATGTGGCGAATCACACAGGAAGTGGGGGGCGGGCAGGCGGCAAGGTGACACACACCCAGAGGGACCCCCTTCCCAACCTGGGATCCCCCCAGCAGCCACTCACCGATGGCTTTCTTCAGCGTCTCGTAGGTAATCTCCTCAGCTGGCACGCGCTGGGGGAGAGGGGACAGAAATACTCAGACAGTGCGGGTGCCTGGGCCTCCCTTCCAGAAGGACAGGGAAACACTCTCCTGTTTTCTGGGGCGGAAGAAGGCCGGTGTCCAGAGCTGTGTTGTCCGTCCCGGGGCAGCAAGGTGGAGGCAGGGAGGCTGACTTGGCGTCAGCGTCTGTGCCCGCCATGGTTCCCTACACCCCAGGCTTGCCCCTTTCAGCCTTGTGGGGGGAACCCTCAGAACAGAGCCCTCAGAGAAGTCAGGGCCATGTCGCAAGCAAGAGGGGGCTCCTTGGCACATGTGATCTCAAGTGTGAAATCAGGACTAGAGTCCGGAAGATGGCGGACAGAAAATCATCAGCTGGGTGGGTGGGGGGTGCTAAGGATTGAATAAAGGGGAAAAATTGCTGAAGGTAATTTGAGGAACTTGGTCACAAGTACCCTCTGTCCTTGGCGGTGCCCCAGACAGGAACCAGACCACTAAAGTGAGCATTGCAGGCTATGTGGCCCCAGTTGTATCCAAAGTGGCGAGGAGCCTGGCTTAGCTCCAGGAACTCCCCTGGATCAAGCACTCCTAGAGGAAGGCCCATGGTTCACTGCTACATAAACCCTCACATGGAACAATGAGAGAATGAGAGCACTTGGGAAAACGAGTCCGTTAATGTCCAGTTCAAGAAGTGGCATAAACGCTCCCCCCACTCACGGCTGGTCCAACCAGTTAGGAAAATAATCTGGATGTTTCTCAAAACACTAGGAGTTAAGCTTCCAAATGACCCCATAACTCCACTTCTGAGCATCTACCCCAAGGTTCTAATAACTCAATTCAGAAAAGACAATATGCTCCTTTGTTCATTGCAGCATTGTTCACAACAGCCAAAATCTGGAAACAATCCAAGTGTCCAAGACCAGCTGAGTGGATAAAAAAACGGTTACATACACACAATGGAATACTACTCGGGTGTAAGAAAAATATTGAAACCACGACGTTTTCTGCTCTGCGGATGGAGCTGGAGAGATCATGCCGAGTGAAGTTGGTCAGAAGGAGACGGAGAGACGCAGAATAATCTCTCTTATATGCAGGATGTGAAAAACAAAGCAGAGGAATAGCAAATGCCCAAAGGTAGCAGAAACTGAGAAGCTGTCTTTAGTAGGCAGCTTCCCCCGGGGTGGGAAAGGTGGGTGGGATAAAGACCCTGGGTAGAGGGCTTGGTGCTGGAATGGATTAAATCCCACTACTAACAGTTTGTAAACCGCACCTGGCTGTCCTCGCCGGGGCCCCTGGGAGGGAGGTGGGTTGAGTTTCCCTCCCCACCCCGGCCAGAGCTCTAGCAGCCGAAGACCTCCAGAACCAGCTACCACCATGCTGAGACCACTCTCCACACGCGTGAAGGTACAGGCAGAGGAACAAAGGCATGTGGGTCCCGGGGCTGAGATCTCCAAGCCTGCTCAGATCGGGGCTGAGCATCCTCCACCCAGATCCTCCACCTTCCAGTAGGCAGGGGTCACACCCACCAACTGACCCCCTGGCGCCGTGTAATCCCATCAACGACCAAGATCCAGAGACTATAAAACCCAGCTCCCAGAAGTGCACGGTCACATTTGTGGCTGCGCGACATCGTTTTATCTCATTCTTACTTTGGAAAAACCGGCAGGCTACCAAATGTAACCTGCCCACACGGCAGAGTCTGGCAAACTCCCCGTGGCGTACCCAATATGCCAAATACCAGTAACAATGAAGGGTCTCATTCTCCTAAGCCTGAAAGAGACTTGAATATGGCACTTTTTAAAAAGTCTCAGGGCTAGGATGAAGGAGACGTTACTGGGGCCTGCTCGAGGCAATCGACGAACAACAGGTGCCCCGTCCATCCCCCCCCAAAGTGCTGCAAGCTGGATTAGTTACTCCCTTAGGGAGTCACCAGAGAGGACTTTAAAGTGACAAGGGCTTCTGATCCCTGGCTGGGATGAATTTCTACTGTGAAAATCCATGGAGCCCTGTATTCGCTGACATGTTGGTATTCCATAACTGTGTGGGTGGGAAAGGACAGCGGTGTGCGGATGGGATACACTTGGTCACCAGATCTAAAATGGGCACGACGTCAGGGTAAGGATCGTGGCTGGTCATTGAGCAGAAACTGCAAACTATTAGCACAGGAATGACGGCAGAGAGAGAGAGGCTGAGCTGTCACTCATGCTGAGGATTCACCCTCAACTCATCTGCCTGCCCATTCGTCTGTCCGTCGGTCATCTGTCTGTCTGTCGGTCCGTTCATCATCACCCACCACCAGCTAATCAGATGTGAGGCGCTTCACAACTGTGTGGTGGAGAGATCTCTCTGCTGAGAGGAGGCAGGGAGAGGAAATGGAGTCTGCAGTGCGGGGGGCAGGGGTTGGGATCCAGATGTGGGTGTCTACCCAGCAGCCTTTCAGTGGGAGTACAAAGATACCTTGGGGGGGGCGGGGAGGGGTATACAAAAAATTTTTCCAGATGGAAACATTTGAAGTGTATGTGATGGGAATTAACCAGAAGACAGGACTTGTTTGAGAAATTCACTTTCGGAGCTGCAGCCCAGGGGCACTCCCGGGGCAAGACGGATGCTCACCTCCTCCTTCTCAGGGCTGTTTCTCGACTCCACCTCCACTTGCAGGGAGATGGTTTCCCCGATGCTCTTCCTCTTGGACAAACGATCCTCATCTGGGGAAGGAGAGGCAGGAGCTGGGCTTTCCAGTGCTCTGAGAACCCCCTCCCAGCCCCTACACCCCCTTGACTGGCCCAGCTAAGGAGAGAGCTGGAGTTCAGGAAGCCTAAGGGTCTCTGCCTGCCTGAGCATGCGAGCCAACTCTGACTGAGGGCTGACTTTGAAATCTGACTAGCGGCAGGTTTCATGACAGATCTGGGCTCAGCGGGAGCCTGTAAGAGCCTCTGCTTTCACAAGTGTCATACACCTGAGGCCCAAGAGACAATAGAGTGGGTAAGGGGCTTGCCTTGCATGCCACCGACTCAGGTTCGATCTCCAGTACCCCATCAGGTCCCCTAAGCCCTGCCAGGAGTGATCTCTGAGTGCAGAGGCAGGAGTAAGCCCTGAGCACTGCCGGGTGTGGTCCCCGAACCAAAACTAAAACCAAAAACAACACCAAGCACCAAGCACCTCTCCAGCTTCCTCCACGGCAGCGACAGTCCAAGGCCTGATTCTGCAGTCAAGGGAAACGGAAATGCAGATACCTAGGGATTTGCCTCGGATGTTTTTCAGGATGTCAGAGAGAATGGGGCCTCTGGTGCCACAGCCCACATAGGTACTTTCCAAATCAGTGGGGGCTCCCGTCAGCGTCCAGCCTCTCCCAAGGGCTAGAGTCTGGTCTGAGCAGAAGAGGCAGGAGAACGGGGGCTCTTGCTTCTCCCGTATCTGCAGCCCAGGTGGCACAGCTCAGGTGCCTGCATGAGGCCCCCAGACCTGCAGAAAGTCGTGGGGCCGTGCTCGTACCTGTCAGCTGTGGGACATAGGGCAGGCACAGCCTGTCTGAGTTGTAGCCACTGCCCCCCAGCACTTCGCTGATTTTGCTCTGGCGGAAGAGGAACTCGATCAGCACTTCCTCAAGATTCTGTGACAGCCTGGAAGACCAGGAAGCGGGACAAGTCAGAGGTGGGACACTGAGGCGATCTCCAAATAACCTTCCTTAGGAGAACAGCGGGCTGGAGTGATAGCACAGAGGTAGGGCGTTTGCCTTGCACGCGGCCGACCTAGTCGACCAGAGTTCGGTTTCTCCTCCCCTCTCAGAGAGCCCAGCAAGCTACCGAGAGTATCTCGCCCGAATGGCAAAGCCTAGCAAGCTACCCGTGACGTATTCGATATGCCAAACACAGTAACAGCAAGTCTCACAATGGAGATGTTACTGGGCCCCCTCGAGCAAATCGATGAGCAATGGGAGGACAGTGACAGTGACAGGATTACAGCAACATGATTTTGCTTTTGTTTTTGTGCCATGCACAGCGATGTTCAGGGGTTACCCCTGACTCTGTGCTCAGGGATCACTCCTGGCAGTGCTCGGGAACCCTATGAAATACCCAGGGTGGAACCCAGGTCGACTGGGTACAAGGCAAGCCCATGACCTGCTGTACTATCCGGCCTCAGCAGCATTCTTTATGCATGGACAGAGAAGCAAAAGGTGTGTGTGTGTGGGGGGGGGGTGGTGGGGGGAGAATGCCAATCCCAGGGGCTGGAGCGGTAGCACTGTGGGTAGGTTGTTTGCCTTGTACACGGTTGACCCGGGTTTGATTCCCAGAATCCCATATGATCCCACGCGCACCGCCGTTCGGGCTAGATAGGAGTGATTCCTGAGTGCAGAGCCAGGAGTAACCCCTGTGCATCGCAGGGGTATGACCCAAAAAGAAAAAAAAAGCCAATCCCAGATCCCCCTGTCACTTGACATTTTTTATTTTGAGATCTTTCCCTTGAGCTCCTCTGGTGCTAAAGAGCGTCGCCCCCCATCTCCTATGGAGAAGGTAGTGTGGACTGACAGGGTGTAAGTGCGTGTGTGTGTGTGGGGCGGGGGAGGGATGTCCCTGTGTCCCTTCAAAAGTGACTGGTCCAGGATGCACTGACCCGACACAGATCCTCATCACACTGCAGGGATTCAAATCCTAGCCAAAAGCAGGGGCCTCTTTTTATGCCCCGGAACCCCGGAATCCAAGCACCCGGCTCAGACCTCCCATCTCACCTGGGCCTCTCCACAAACACGTCTTCGGGGAGCATGTACGGAGCCTCTTTCTTCCTGGTCTCTATCACCTGCATTTGGGGAGGTCTGGGTGTCATCCTGATGGGAGCTGGGTGTGAAGGGGACTCCCATCCCCCCCAGCCACCAGGTCGGACCCTCCTTCCACAGCCCCCGGGGCTGAGCAGCAGAGAGAGATGCTGGCTGGCAGTGACCCTCAGAGCCTTGGGGAAGCCCAGAGGCCAGTGTCTGTGAGAGCTCTTTGATTTGGAAATGTTTCACACAGGCAAAGAGAGCAAGAAGAAGAGGGAGGGAACAAAGGTGTCCGCCAGCAGGATCTCCCCACAGAAGTTCGCAGCTCACTGCTTTCACTGTGGTTGGAAACATTTATAGAAAAATCTTTTTAAATTCCTGTCCCTCCCATGACCTGAGGGCTGTGTGTGTGGGAGCATGTGTGTTTGCGGGTGGGGGAGGAGAGGGCAGCGGAGCGCATGGCTAGCAGGAGAAGTTCACGCCTGTGCCCACCCACCCTGGCAGGTCACGGCACACGGCAGGAAACCAACCTCTAGAAACTTCTTAGGAATTCTCTTGCCAGCCCTTTGTTCTATGCTTAGAGAAAGCACTGGGCTCAGGCAATGGGAACCCACGGCTGGGGCTGCCTGTGCGCTCGTCTGTGCGTACCAACCTCGTGGACGTGCTGGCAGAAGGCGGGCACCGTCGTCAGCTGGCTGATGAGGTTCAGGTAGGCCGCGCCCAGAGCATAGAGGGCACAGCGGTTGTACACGGGCAAGTTCTCCTCATTGACTTGGGCCACATCCTGTGGAACACAGAGGGGCCTCGGGAGGTGTTCAGTGATAGGTGACATGGGGGTCCTGCCCTCCTCCACTTCCTTCTTCCTTAATGTTTTGTTTTTTGGGGGCCACATTTAGCGATGCCTAGGGATGTCTCCTGGCTCTGTGCTCAGGGTTGACTCCTGGTGGGATCCAGGGGACAATATGGGGTGCCAGGGATACCTTGGGACTGGTGTGTATATGATACACCTGCTCCTGTCTTCCTGGCCTCTCCCCAGCCTTGTTGACAGGAACTCTGTTCTGTTCACTTGGTCCCCAACTTCCCAGGAGACAAGTCAACTTCATAACTTTGCCTCAAAGCTGAGGCAAATAGACCCTAGAACAATCTATAAGCTGGAGCATCTTAATCCATTTTTTTTTTCTTTTTTGGGTCTCACCCAGCGATACTTAGGAGTTACTCCTGGCTCTGTGCTCAGGACCATAGGGGATGTAGGGGATCAAATCTGGGTTGGCCATGTGCAAGGCAAACACCCTACCTGCTGTGCTATTGCCCTGGTTCAGGAAACTCTTAATCCTTGAGTAGAAAGGCAAGCAAAGGCCTCATCCCTTGTTCTGCAGTTCCAGAGACCTTCACTGTGAGGTCCTCTGAGACCCATGCCCTAGGAACTCTTTCCCCCTTTTTTAAAACAAATTTGTGCTTTTTTTTATTTTGTTTTTTTTGGACCACAACTTTTGGTGCTTAGGGGTTACTACTGGCTCTGCACTCAGGAATGATTTCTGGGGTCTTGGGGGACTATATAGGATGCTAGGGATTGAACAGATTCAGGCGCATGCAATGCAAATGCCCTCCCCCTGTACTATCACTCTGGCCCCAGGAGCAATTTCCATCTTAAAGAACCGAGGACAACTTCTTGAGCCACGGTGGTCTGGCTCAACTGGGTTCAGAGGGGTGAACAGTAAGTGAACAGTAGTGGGGAAACATAAAGATTGGGCCACAAAGGAACAAGTTCGAGCTCTGGAGGGTCTACAGAATGAAGGCTGCCAATGCTTTGAGTTGGCTGTGTGGGCAGGATTTGTTTGTTTGTCTGTGGTTCCAGGGGTCATGCCTAGGGTCTTATATATGAGATATGAGCTCTAATCATTGAGACATATCTCCAGCCCAAGGAATTTTTTGCTTAATAATTTTTCTTTTAAAGTAATATTGGTTTCTGCCATTAATTGTAGAGCATTTAGCACCCTCAGCACGTGGCCTGGGACATGTCAGGATAGGATGCTTGACTCGTTTCTGAGCCCTTGAGACTGCTCTTTAAGGCCTGAAGGACCCACCCAAGTCTCAGTGTCCTGGGGGCACACTTCCTCTAGGGTAGACCCAGGAGTTGAACGTGGCACTATCCTGACCACCTCAGAGTCTCAGGGTAGACAGGCTGACTTTGGGCACAGGGCTCAGGATGGAATGGGGGAATGACGCTTTTTTGTTTGTTTGTTTTCCCTTTTGGCTACACCTGGCATGCTCAGGGCTTAGTCTTGGTGAGGCCCGGGAAACCATAGGCGGTACCAGGGATGGAACCTGGGTCAGCCACATGCAAGGCAAGCACCCTACCCACTGGACTATCTACTGCTGTAGGCCCAAATGATTCATTTTTAGTAAGTGCTTAAGGGGAGGCCCAGTAGGTTGGAGGATGAGAGGCTGCCTGGATCAGCAGTTGGTCTGGAGTCGCTCAGGGTGAAGTCATTCAGTCTGCAGGTGGGGGGCTCCCAGACAGGGCCCTGGGCGCTGGGGTGTGGGCTCCCTGGGGTAAGGTCCACGCACGCGTCACATTGTGGGACTCCACGGCAATCGCTCCTTGGCCTGCCTGTCCAGGCCAGTCCAACCCCACCCTGCAGCTCCCACGGGCCTCACCTGAACGGCCAGCACCAGGCGGATGAGGTCCACCACCACCTCCTCGTTGGCCAGCTCGATGCTGATGAGCGCCAGCAGCCCGTAGAGAGCTTCGTAGTGCTTCTGGATGTTCGACTCCTCCTTACAGCTCAGGTAGATGTGTCTGTAGAGCTGCTGGGAGTGCTGAGGGCCGAGGGAGCAAGGTCAAGGGTGAGGTCATGGCAGGGTGGGCTTGGAGGGGTGACCAGGAGTGCAAGACCAGTCAAAAGGAGGTGGGCCGGCTGTAGGCACCCCACTCCCACCTCAGGAATAGGATGCCACTTCAATTTTTAATTTCTGTTTTTTTTGTTTTGTTTTGTTTGTTTCTGGGCTACACCTGGTGTTGCTCCTGGCTTACTCCTGGCTCTGTGCTCAGGGGTCACTCCTGGTGGGGCTCGGCACCCCATATGTTGTGCTGGGTCAGCTATGTGCAAAGCAAACACCCTATCCTCTGTACTGTCACTCTGGGCTCTAGGATTACTTCTTAAAACCCTATCAAGGCCATATAGGGTAGTGCTGGCGGTCACAGTGATGCTTAGCCTAGTGATGCTGGCCTGACAATTGGGTGCCGGGGGCCCCGAAGGTGCTGAAGATAAAGGTCAGGGGGGCATGAGTGATGAAGAGAAAGGTCAGGACCATGCACAGAAGTGAACTATCTCTTGGCCCCATGAGGATGCCCTAATTTAATGTACTTTTGTTTTCTTGGACCACATCCAGTGGTGCTCAGGGTTTTTCTCCTGGTTCTGTGCTCAGGGATCACTCCTGGAAGGGATAGGGGAACCATGTGGGGTGCTGGGGATCAAATCTGGGTTGACTGTGTATAAGGTAAACACCCTGTTCGCTGTACTATCTCTTTAATGCCCCCTATTACCATTACAAAAAAATTAGGCACCGTGGTTTACGAACCTATTAATGGAAGGTTTCATGCATAAAACCTGCCAACACCATACACTCAACCAGAGTGTTCCCTTCCCTCCACCACTGTTTCCCCCCTCCCCCCCACCCCTGCAGTAAGTTTCCTACTGAAGACCAATTCTCAGCTTCTGTGGTGTTTGGGCATTAGTTACTCCCCCACTATGCCTTTATATACCCCACAGGAGAGATCAGCCTGTCCCTCAGCTCTGACTGACTTCATTCAGAACGATACTTTCCAGATCCATTCATTTTAGCAAACTGCATGACTTCTTAGGGCTGAGTCGTATTCCACTGTGTATATGTATTACGGTTTCTTCTCCTTCTTCCTTTTGGTTTTTTGTTGTTTCAGGGCTAAACCTGGTGACGCCCAAGGGTTACTCCTGGCAGGATTCAGAGGACCATATGGGATGCTGGGGATTGAACCTGGGTCAGCTACATGCAAGGCAATCACCTTCCCTGCTGTGCTATCACTCTGGCCTGTACCATTGTTTCTTAATCCAGTTATCCGTGGACACATGGGTTGTTTCCAGATTTTGGCTACTGTGAACAGATGCCTTTAAAGTGACCCCAGTGGATGTGACCACAGGAGGTTGGGCACCCATGGCACCAGCCAGGGTCCTTGCACAGGCTCACAGCTGTGGTCCCTGCCCTGGCCTCCGCCTGAGCATCCCTGGACCCTCTGGTTGCCCTGAACGGGTGTAGTCAAGAGGGAAGGAGGCAGCCTTGGGGACACTGGTGGAGAGTGGCCTTGGGGATGAAATGTTGGGGGGGGGCATAGGGCCTGGGTGTTGGGGACACAGCTGCTTACCTTCTTCATGAAGACGGTGTCCTGCCGGGAGCACTTGTCCACTTTCAGCTTCAGGACAGAGATGTCACTGAGGGTACTGGAGGGGACATGGAGCCCAGTCAGAGCTTAGTGGCCTGACCCTGAGCTCTTTGTCATGCCAAGACCTTCTGCGTGGGCAACCCCACCCCAGGCCCCAGCTTTGTGCTCAGTCCCTCTTCTCAACTCCATGGTTTGTTTCTGGGTCACACACAGTGGAACTCAGGGCTTCCTTCTGACTCAGTGCTCAGGGAACCCCAAGTTCACCTGATGGTCGAGAACTTGTGACGGTTGCCATGACGATCGATAAAACTGATGAGAATCTCTAGGACAAAGAGCCGGATCTCTGCATCCTCCATGAGGGCGGTGGACAGAAGGCGGTCCAGGAAGTTGCTGGGCAGTGCTGACATCATGTTGCTGCACTGGAAGCCTGTGGATACCTGTGGGGCGCCCAGAACACCACACGCTTAGCAACACCACGCGGTGATGGAGAAGCAGGGGAGCGCCAGGCCTGTCCCCGCCACCCAGTCCGGGTTCTCCTTCCTCCACGTCTGGCCACGGAGGTTTTAGGCAACTTTTGGGAACGCAGCAACATGCATCTGGACAACTCGCTCAGCTTGGTAAAGACACACACAGATGTCTGGGATGGTTCCTTGAGAGAAGCAAGGCAAGGGGACCTTGAGAGGGGGCAGGAGCTGGAGGGCCTCTGAATCTTATGGTCCAGCCCATCGGTCCAAGTGAAGGATACTGGCCATGAAGACAAGGCGTTATAAGAGAATGGACTCGCTCAAGGGCAGAAGGAGTAGGACTGGGCTAACATGCTTGCCTGGCATGTGGCTGACCCCAGTTCGATCCCTGGCAGGGCTTATGGTCACCCAGGACCCCTGAGCATTGAGCCAGGAGTATGTCGTGAGAAGCACTGGGTATATTCCAAAAACAGAGAGAGAGAGAGAGAGAGAGAGAGAATGGAAAGGATGCTCTCAAAGAAGAGGAGAGAGGGCAGAAGAGCCCACAGCTGAGGCTTCAGAGTCCCACGCAGCATTTGGTGGGGGTCTTGTCTCCCAGGGCACAGAGGATCTCCTGATGAAAGCCAGGGGCCTAAGAGACACACCATACACAGTGGCACCGAAGCATTCAGACACAGTAGGAAGCATTTTTCTGTTCACACCACTTTACAAAATAATGCCTTCGATGGTTCTGAAGGCTCTTGAGGATCTAGAAAAAAAACCTTGGGCATCAACAGTGAACGTGCAGAGTCACAAAAGGGAAACTATTAGTGTGCCCCAGTCTGTGGCCATCATAAGACACTGGTGACAAATCAATCACAGCACACAAGACAGCAGGCGAACAAGTCCAGGAGGTGCCCAGATGGCCGGGTCAGCACACAAGCCTTTCTAAAGAGACAGTGACAGGAAGGGCTTGGCCAGAGGACTGGGCAGGGTGAGGGGAGCGGGAGGAGGGGGGCTGGGCCTGGCCGGACCAGGCAGGGAGAGGAGAGGAGAGTCTGGGGAGGATAAAGGGGGTGGGAGGGACCTTCCAGCTTCAGTTTGAGAGGTTTGAAATCTGGATGCATGCCCACTGGAAAGAGGGATATATTCTTAAACACGGAGTAGTATGTGGAGAGCAGCATTTCTAGAAAATTCTTCTTAGGGTTATGTTTGAGATAGGAGATAGGAGGGGCCAAGATAACCAATGGTAGAGCACATGTCCTCCATGTAGGAGGCCTGAGCTCTAACCCCGGTACCACACGGCCCTCCTGAGCACCACCACTAGAAAAACACAGCCCCATCGGGCTGGAGCGATAGTACAGCGGGTAGGGCATTTGCCTTGCACGCGGCCGACCCGGGTTCTATTCCCAGCATCCCATATGGTCCCCTGAGCACCGCCAGGATTAATTCCTGAGTGCAGAGCCAAGAGTAACCCCTGTGTATTGCTGGGTATAACCCCCTCAAAAAAAGAAAAACACAGCCCCATAGCTCAGTGGCAAAAGCACCTGCCTGGCTAGTGCGGGACCCCAAGTTTGACCCCCTGTGCTGCTTATAGGTGCCAGGCCTGGTCCTGGTATTTGGAACCTCAGGGCTGCAAAAGTGTTGCTATCCGTGGCCCATCACAGCTTTGTGTGCAGACACCCCAACTGCACCCTAAGTGAAGAGCACTGTAAGAGATGAGTGAGCACCCACAGCCAAGTAAGTGTGTGACCTCTAGAGAGCCCATGTGTGAGCGCCAGGGGACCCTGCAACCCGAGTGACCAATCAGAGTGGGAGGATAGCAACTGAGGGCGTGTGAGATCCCAGGCACTCCAGCAACCAAGGGAAGGGAAGCAGGGAGGTGAGTGGAGAGAGGGGATGAAGAATCAGGAGAATGGAGGATGAGGCCTAGAGAGAGGTAAATGCGAAGGGGGCCTGGACAAAGGCAGGCTGTAGGACCCCGCCCAGCCCAGCAGCCACTATCTCTCGGGAATGCTGTGTTTCCAGAAGTTGGAAGCACACCCTCCAAGGGGGAGGCCCTGAGCTCTAACCCCGTACTACACGGTCCCCCTGAGCACCACCACTAGAAAAACGCAAGCCCCACAGCTCAGTGGCAAAAACAGCTGCCTGGTTAGTGCGGGACACCAAGTTGGAGCCCCAGGACTGCCCAGGTACTGGGTCTGGTCCTGGTGGCTCTATTTGGAACCCCAGGGCTGCAATAGTGCTGTAATCCCTGGCATGGAAACCACCTTGCTTGAGAACAGTGACTCTGAACTCCAGTGTGGACTGCAAAGGTGTGAAGAGGGACTTTGGAAGCACATAGTGAAGGGAAGGAGGGAGACAGGGTGGGGCTACTTGGAGGGAGTGAGGGATGGAGACCCTGGATTCCATCACGGCACAGCACCCTGCTAAGGGATAGGTGTGAAAATCAGAAAGAGCTCGGCAGGGGCTGGAGCGATAGCACAGCGGGTAGGGCGTTTGCCTTGCAGGCGGCCGACCCAGGTTCGATTCCCAGCATCCTATATGGTCCCCTGAGCACCACCAGGAGTAACTCCTGAGTGCAGAGCTAGGAGTAGAGTTTCTGGCTTATCCCTCGGGCTGGGCATGTTTGTGCAGTGTGCTGCCTGAACGGGCTACCGGGGGTCATCCCGGAGCTCCTTGGAAGAAGGTGCCTCCTGCAGACGGGACAGGCAGGAGAGACTCACCTGGAGGAGGGATTTCAGCAGCATGATCTGCGTCAGCCGGTTCCTGTTCTCCCTGCGCAGGAGAGACACCAAGACTTGCTGGGGGCCGTGGACCCAGAGGCCACCTTCTCGGGGTCCTTCCTGACCCATCTGTTACCAGGTCTCTTACAGGTGACTCCAGAGCCAGGAGGCAGGCCAGGGTATGAATGGCTCATCCCCAAAGAGGGAGGGATGGCTGAGCTCCAAGGACCCCTCCATAGGCTACTGAGGGGGTTTGAGAGTGGAATGACAGGTGGAGACGTAGAAGGAGGGAGAGGAGAGGGGCTGGAGTGGTAGGACAGCAGGGAAGGCGTTTGCCTTGCACACGGCTGACCTGGGTTCGATTCCCGGCACCCCATAGACACCCCGAGCACCGCCAGGAGTCACCCCTGAGCATCACTGAGTGTCCCAAAAAGAAAAAAAAAGGAGAGAAAGGGGAAAGGTAAGCGGAAGGGCACAGGTGCACAGGGGAGACTGGCGAGGCCGACTGCGACTCACCCTGTCCTCCCGGGCTCCACGGGGTGGTGCAGCGAGGGCAGGGGGACCTTGCTCATGATGAACAGGATCACCTCCGAGCGCTGGTACGTGGGCAAGGTGCTGGCAAAGGAGCCTGCGAGACAGAGCGGAGGGGGCCGGCCCGCTGTGACCCACTCAGCGGGGCAAGCTGCTGTGGACCGCGGGGCGTTTCCCCGGAGTAGCAAGACCCTCCAGAGAGACCCCAGGACTGCAGAGCAGCTCACGGGCTGCAGGACCTCGCTGTGACTCAGGATGCCGGGATAGGTGCCAGGGATGCAGAGAGAGTCTCAGGGGTGGCCCTTCTCCCGCCCAGCTGCAGGCGTCCCCTGACCCACGACTCTCTCCCTTCCTCACTCCCTCCTCCCTTCCCATCTCTCAAAACTGGAGGTGGGGGGGCGGTCTGGGGTTCAGGAAGAGTTTGCCTCTCAGCCTTTGAGGGCAAACCCAGGTTGAGAAACCCGGGGAAATGGCTCTGCTCTCACATGGGACACCGAGGCCTGTCCTTGAGCCTGGCACACACGGTGTTGGGAATAAACGAGACGGGGCAGATGACAGTCCTGCAAGGTCCCGAAGATGGGGAACCCTGTGGGAGTCAGTCCTGCCCTCCCTGGCCCCGTCCACACGCCAGGCCCCGCCCACACGCCAGGCCCCGCCCATACGCCAGGCCCCGCCCCGGCCCCGCCCCAGCTCCCACCTATGGTCTTGATGACGGCCTCCTGGAACATGCGTTCTTCATGCTCCTTGATGATCCTGATGCCCAGGCTGAGGGCCCCGTCGTAGCTCCCGGTCAGGGCGTAGTCGATGCTGAGCCGCAGCTGCCTCAGCAGAGTGTTGAACATCTCCAGCACCGTGGGCCCTGGTGCACAGCGAGAGGCGCGAGACGAGGCGGCTGGTACCCCTCGGTCATGCCCCCTGCCCTGCGTTACTGGGCAAGCCCCGGCTCACTTCCAGCCGGCGGCGGCCTCCAGCTCCCGCCTGCCCGAGCTCAGGCAAACTCCTGAGCCGACAGTTCTTTCGGCCATGGAGGAAGGTGACCGCCCCTCTCCCCAGCCCCGCTTGGTCACACAGGCCCCTTACCGACAGAGCCTGTGGCTGCGATGACCGCAGCCTCGGACAGGACCTCAACGATGCCCGCCCGCACCGAGGCGGCGCTGCGGCTGTTGGCATCCAGGTGACTCAGGAGCTGCTGGATAACCAGGTGGGAGTGCTGCGGCTGCGGGGAGGAAGATGTGCTGGGCCCAAACAGCCACCCTGAGCCATGGGAGCCTCCGCCGGGACCAAGGGCAGGTGCAAAGGCCAGGGGGCACTGGAGCTGGGCACCCAGGCACCTGTTCCTTTTCGCCCTGCCTGGTAGACCCAACCCCGGGAGGAGACTTTTGTTTCCACGTGCCTCCCAGCCCTTTCAAACAGGACAAAGGGAGGTTTCAAACATCGCCTTCCTTTCCCCTCTTCCCAATACAGGTGGGGCCCATGGGAGGCCTCAGGGCTTCTTCCAGAGCTGGCCAAAGGAGGGGCCACCTCTGGAAACTGCACCTGATCCGTCTGATGCCCTCATAGGCTGACAAAAGTCGCACCACCGCCAGCGGTCAGACCTTTGGCAATGCCAGGCCTGCTGAGTAGGGCTCCAGGGCTTGCGTTTGCATGAGTTTTAAAGTTAAGAACGCTTTTCACTGCATGCTGTTTCACTTATTGCAGTGGGGTGGGGTATGTGGGGCTGTGCTCAGGGGTGACTCCTGGCAGTGCTTGGGAGACCTATACGCAGTGCCTGGGATAGAACTGGGGTTGGTCACATGCAAGATAAGCTCATTATCCCTATACATCCCAAGCCCTCATATTATTAAAAGGTAAAGGTAAAGGCCCTCCCGTTGTTCGTCGATTTGCTCGAGCGGGCCCAGTAACGTCTCCATTGGAGACTTTATTGTTACTGTGTTTGGCATATCGAATACGTCATGGGGAGCTTGCCAGGCTCTGCCGTGCGGGCGAGATACTCTCGGTAGCTTGCCGGGCTCTCCGAGAGGGGCGGAGGAATCGAACTCGGGTCGGCCATGTTGGCTGCGTGCAAGGCAAACGCCCTACCGCTGTGCTATTGCTCCATCTATTATTATTATTATTTTATTATTATTATTTTGGGTATAGGAGGCCATACCCAACAGTGCTTGGGGATTCTGACTTGGAGCTTGGGGGCTGCTCTGGGTCTCCTGCGTGCAGAGCGCATGCTCCAACCCTGAAGTATCTTTTCCAGCCCCCTCACTGTGTTTTCAAATGAAGTCTTGACTTCATTTGAAAGAAAATCGGTGCTTCTCTATAGGCAGGTCAAGCAGCTGGAGTTAGACAAGGAGGGGTCCATGAGGGGTCCCCCAAGACTGCTGACTTGCTCCTTGAGTGCCCGTCCTGCCCCCGAGGCTCCCTTGACCAGGGGGGCAGGGGGAAGGGGCTGACAACCGCGTACCTGAATCGAGTACATGATGATTTTAAAGCAGCGGATGGCGAACACCTTGGGTTCCCAGAGAGAATGGTTATCCAGGTGACTGTAGGGGAGAAATGTGGGGTGTGAAGGGGATGTGCAAGGTGCTGTGACAGGAGAGGAGAGATAAGGCTGGCGACACCTGAGAGAGACCCAGCCCCTCCCAGAGCCTCAGGTAAGGAAGACGCGCTTGGGTGTGATGAGAGAAGGGAACCAACGGGGACCCCTGCGCAGCCCCGGAACTAGAAGAAGATCAAGGTGCCATCGTAGTGGATGGGAGGAATGAAGCGGGGGCACCTTCCCCCTGCCTCCACCTCCCTCCTAACTGCTCTCGGCCAGTGTGGTAGCTTGTGCTGTCACGGCACAGAGGGTTCCGGGAGATGCTGGGAGGGGAACACTCACATGAGGACCGGCTTGATGGCGTTTTTGATGTTGCCGAAGGCAGCCCGGCCGAGCAGTTCCCGAAGACACCTCTCGGCCAGCTCGGCTGGGTTCTCCTTCTCCTTCTCGGGCGCTTGCAGGGGTGAGGGGGACCGGCTGTGGGAACACACCATGAGTGGGTGAGGTTATTAAGAAAGCTGGGAGCGGGGAGTGGGGTGTCGGCGCCTCTGTGTTCCCCGGGCCCAGATGCGGGGAGATTGTGGGAGAAGGGACCACGTTCCTCTCCTGGAAATCCTGTCGTGCCTCAGCGGTAAAGACCAAAGCAGAGCACCAGAGTCCGGGTGCGGCCAAGTGTCCTCATGCCCAGGGAGGCTTGGAAAGGAAAAGATGGGAGAGGCAGATACCAGGGGAATTCAAAATAAATAAGATAGAGAGGAGGTTGAGGCACAAATGGATGGCAGGGAGATCTGCTCAGGTGTGGTTCTGTGGTACCTGAGTCAAAGGGTGGGCAGAGACCACCAGGGACCAAGCTGGGTTGGGCAGGGAGGTGCTGTTCCAGACATTGCCAGCAGGGGGCATACTGGCTTTGCTCTCAGGCTGCACACACAGCAAGGAGCTTGCATCTTTCACCAGAAAGGGGTGTGTGTGTGTGTGTTTCTTCAACAAGAACTTTCCCTGCAGCCCATGTCCCAGAGGTGAGAACCAGGGCCAGGCACAGATGTATTCCCTGTCTGGTGGGGGTTTCCAGAGAGAAACCCGATGTCTACAACCAGTGTGTGTGTGTGTGTGTCTGTGTGTGTGTGTGTGTGGGGGGGGGGGGGAATCTCAAGGGTCTGAAATACTGGTAGGAAGTGAGGGAGGGAGGAAAATTGCGGGGAACTGGAACCCAGTGCAGCCTTACAAACCTTGGTCCTGCCTGCAGAGACACAAAGGTAACCTGGCTCGTCCTTTGTGTTCTTTTTTTTTTTTTTTTTTGCTTTTTGGGTCACACCTGGCGATGCTCAGGGGTTACTCCTGGCTCATGCACTCAGGAACTGCTCCTGGCGGTGCTCAGGGGACCATATGGGGTGCTGGGAATCGAACCTGTGTCGGTCATGTTGGCTGCGTGCAAGGCAAACGCCCTACCCGCTGTGCTATCACTCCAGCCCCACGTCCTTTGTGTTCTTATCAGCACAGGCTTCCCCCGGAGGCCGGGCCCTGGCTGTCCTTCCTTATGAACCCAGACCTCAGGGCTCCGGCAGGCTGGCGAGGGGCCAGGCCAGGCTCGGGGGAACCGTCAGAGGGCGGGCCGGCTCCCTGGAAGACCGCCTGCTCACCTCTCGGCCTCTTCCACGTGCTGCAGGTTGAAAAGCAGGGAGGGCACGATCTTATCCATGTGCTGGGGCTCCCAGATGTTGGCCTGCAGTTCATCATTCACCGTCTTCCTCACCACCCCTTGGAGCCCTTTGATCCCTGACATTCGGATCCTGCAAGGAAAGCGGTGGGTTGGGGCCAGGAGGTCTCCAGGCCCTGGGGTTCATGGTCCCTGCAGCGAGGGGAGGAGCAGGAGCATCTGGTGGCAAAAGGCAGGAGGGCGGCCCCCATTAGCTCTCCGTGTCGCTCGGCCATCTGGCTGGCTTACGTGCTGGCAGATGGACCCCCGGAAGCGAGTCTTCTCTTCGAAAGACCTGGGCTGCCCCGAACACCCCCTGGGTGGCTTTCACCCTAGGGTGCCCATGCTCCCTGCTCTTGGATCTCACCTCCTCTAGAGTCAGCTGGCTTTGTTCAAGCCTGAGCCTAAGCTAAAGGTCCTCAAAGTGCTGCCAGCTCCTAATGGGGTGTGGGGGTGGGGGGGGGGATTTGGCCTCTGGAGAGGACAAGCAGGCTGAGACACCAGAGGGAATCCCTTTCATGCAACCCTGGTCCCCGCTGAGCTGACCTGGAACTGGCAGGGCACTGTTGAAAGAAGCCCCCAACCCATTTTCAGTTTTCTTTTTTGGTTTTTTTTTTTTTTTTGGAGCTGTGCATGACAGTGCTCAGGGATCACTCCTGGTGGTGTCAGAGGGACCAGGAGGTGTTGGAGATCAAACTAGGGCCCCCTGCATACACATTGTGCTTTGTGCCACTGCTCCATTCCAGAAGGAAACCTTTCTTCTTTTTTTTTTTAAATTGAATCACTGTGAGATACAGATACAAAGCTTTCATGTTTGAGTTTCAGTCATACAATGATTGAACACCTATCCCTCCACCAGTGCACATTCTCCACCACCAATGTCCCCAGTATCCACCCCCCCCCCCAATCCTAACCCTTCCCCTGCCTCTATGGCAGACAATTTCCCCCATACTCTCTCTCTACTTTGGGGCATTATGGTTTGTAATATAGATGCTGAGAGGCCATCACGTTTGGTCCTTTATCTACTTTCAGCACATATCTTCCATCCTGAAGGATCCCCGCAACCATCATTGACTTAGTGATCCCCAGAAAGAAACCTTCTTTACTGGCCATTTCTTTCACGCTGAAGTTTCTAACTTTAATCAAGCATGTTTTCGAATGGCAATATGTGTGAATTAGAGAAAAGTATGCAGAAGATTTACCTGTGTCCCCCACTCAGAGACCACCATTCTGAGTCAATGTCTTTCCTTCCACGCATGACCCATAACAAGAATTATTTTGGGTTCAATTTCCAGGGCTTCCCTAGCATTTTTTCATGGCTTTCCCTTTATCATTAACTGCATAAACATGTACAGTAGCGGCATGAGACACCATCGGAACTGTGTAAACTCGAGCTTCGTTGTTTTTTGTTCCTTTGACCACAACTAACAGTGCCTAGGTTTACTCCTGACTCTGTGCCCAGGGATCACACCTGGCTCAGGGGACAACTTGCAGTGCCAGAGATAGAACCCCAGGTTGGCTACATGCCAAACAGGTGCCTTACCTCTGAACTATCTTTCTGGCCCCATCTTTTTTTCTTTCTTTTATTTTGTTTTTTGCTTTTTGCTTCACACCTGGTGATGCACAGGGGTTACACCTGGCCCATGCACTCAGGAATTACTCCTAGTAGTGCTCGGGGTACTATATGAGATGCTGGGAGTTGAACCCAGCTTGGCCATGTGAAAGGCAAATGCACTACCTGCTATGTTATTGCTACAGCGCCCACCTCCCCCCCCATCTTAATTTATTTCTTTTCTTGGTTTTGGGCCAAACCAAGTGATGCTCAGGGGCTCTCCCCTCAGGAATTACTTCTGGAAGTGCTTGGGAAACCATACGGGATGCTGGGGATTGAACCTGGGTTGGCCACATGCAAAGCAAATGCCCTACCTACCTATCTCTCCAGCAACCCCACACCCCACATTCACACCTCAGTTTCTTAAACTGTGGATTCCAACACCATATGGGGGTTGCATGCTACTTAAAATTTTGTTTTAAAATAAATTTCCTTATGATCCTAAAGAGATAGTACACTAGGTAGGGCATTTGTCTTGCTAGTGGACAACCCTGGTTTGATCTCCAGCACCACATATGGTCCCCTAAGTCCCATCAGGAGTGAGCCCTGAGCACAGAGCAGAGAGTAAGCCCTGAACGCTGCGAGGTGTAGCCCAAAAACAAAAACAAATTTCCTTATGATTAATATCAGTAAATGGTTGGTTTGTTTACCTGTTTAATATTCCTGTCTACCTGGGCTCACTGAGTTTCCTGGGTGAAAAGGTATGGTGAGCAGAAAGTTTTAAAAGTCTTGTTCTAAATGGTCATTTCAGCTGTTTTGACTTTTTTTTTTTTTGCTTTTGTGTTTGAACACTGCAGCTCATTGTGTAAAGCATCTGAGTCCCTTCCAAATTATTTCCCTGAATGGGATTACTGACTAAGAAATGAAAGGCTTCCAATTTTGCTAAATTCCTCTCTGCTCCCTGACACCCCAGCTGTCAGGTTCTGTTCCCTATTCCCTGCACCTGTCTCCGGGCTGGGGTCTCTGAGACCCTCCTCCTTCCTGATGGTTTGATGGCCCTCACATCACGGAGTCCTGTCAGCTCTCACCCTTAAGGGATCAGCATGGTCCAAGAGGCTTTCTGAGTGTTTCTCTGTCACCTGTGTTTTTTAGCTAGAAACGTGCTTATGTGGGAAGGCCCTGAGCCTCACCTGGTGATGGTTGGGGTGATCTAGGTGCCTGACTCTCAGGACCAGGCCCCTGGCAGGAGAACCGGGGCAGGACCACAGGCAAGTTCTCCCCAACATTCCACTGCTTTGAGCCTGGCCCTGGGAAAGCACCTGAGCCAGGACTGGAGAACAAATAAGCGGACGCCAACCCCCTAACCGTGCTTGAATCTGGACTCAGTGCGCCTGGAAACGCCTCGGATGTACAAGGAAACACCCCTAATGCACATAGAAACATCTCAGATGTACAAGGAAACGTTCCTAATGTACATGGAAACATCCCTAATGCACATAGAAACGTCTCCAGTGCACAAGAAAACATCACTAATGGACATGAAACAGCTCTAACGCACACGGAAATGGATCCTTCACGTACACAGAAATGGGTCCCAACATGCTGTCCTCCCGGACCCGCCCCTGGAGTCTGGCTGGCAGGAATCCAGCCCTGGTGGGTGGAACTTCCTGCCCAGGGTTTCCCGGATGCATGGATGTGAGCACAGCTCTCTTCGGCCCCTGATCCCCAGCTTCCTCCAGGAGGCCAAGAGCTCACTGGGCCCTCTCAAGAGAAACTGAAGAACAGGCCTGGTCCGAGGAACCACTTTTGCTGCCTTGTAATGGACTCAGTGACAGCCAGGTCACAGGGCTGCAGAGTTCTGGAAGGGCTGTGAATGAACCACAGGGAGCTCAGGGAAAAGGGGTGCCTGGAAGTTACAGAAAAGAAAGACAACAGGAGGGAAAGAGATGAAGCCGGGACAGCCCTGAGCTGGGGCCTGGGCTGGTGTGCCTGTGTGGCCAGCACTCAGCAGCGTCTGGTCACCAGCAGCCTCGACCTGGTGTCCAGAAACCCTCAGACTGCTGGGACACAGCTGCCCCTGCCCTCCACTGTGGGCGGGGCCGTGTGAGGGAGACCATAGACGCAGTGTGACTGTGGAGAGTGTAAGTGACTTTGCACACGACTGTGCACAGCAGATGTGCTTGTGTGCATAGCTGTGCACGTGATTGTGTGGAGATGTGATTATGTGTGATGTGTGCAGAGTCTATGTAATTACGTGTGCAACTGTGTATGTGAGCATGTGGGGGATAAGTGTGTGTGGTTAGGCACAGGACTGCAGAGTGATTATGTGTACTATTGTGTGCATGACTGTAGTGATTGTGTGTGTGGCTGTGTGCGTGAGTGTAGAGTCTATGTGTGTGGTTGGGTGTTGTGAGGGGTGGCCCTCTGCTCCTCATCCCGGGCCGGCACTTGTCAGGGGTTGTGTCCAGCTCTGGTCTTGACCGACCAGGTGGCACTTCCGGATGTGCCCTTCCTCCACCGCGTCTGTTGCCTGGGAGTTGTTCTGGAGTCTGAGGCCACAGTAGAAACTTAGGGTGCCAGCTGGCCAAGGGGCAGGTACCAAGGAGACGGGGCCTGCAGAGCCCTTCCCAGAGGCCTCAGGAGCCACCCACCTGGGGATGGGCATCAGGGGTCACGTCCCGTGCTGCCCATGCAGACCACCAGTCGGGAAGAGCAAACTCCGGAGGGGCTCCCAGAGGCCCTGACACCTCAGACAGGACACAGAGGCCCCGGGAATTGTGCTGCGGCATCTGAGCTTCTCCTCCTCCTAGACTGGAGTGGATGTCCTGCCAGAACCTCTGTCCCCCCTGGGCACTCTGGAGCCCTCGAGCTTCCTGGGGGCACAGGTGACTGGTCAGGCCCTGCCTTGAATCCTTCTATGCCTCCAGGCACTCACAAGGGCTGAGTCTTTTCTCAGTGAACAGAGATTTGTTTGTCTGTCAGCTTGGAGGTCACCGCTGGCTGTGCTCAGGGGACCATAGTGGGTGTCGAAGATTGAATCTGCTTAGCAGCAGGCAAAGCAAGACCTTATCCTCTGTGCTATCACTCTAGCCCCTCTGTGAGTAGCGTTTAACGAGTTCTGGACCCTGATACTGAGTGTGTAAAAGTCTATTCTGTAACTCAGGATGTTGATCTGCAAGCAGATATTGATTAACAGAATTTGTGATTGTTCTGTTTGGGGGCTATACCAGATGTAGCTTAGGGGCTACGCCCGACTCTGTACTTGGGGGCTGCTCCGAGGGGCTCTCAGGGGTCTGGGGGCAGGGGCAGGGAAGGCTGAGGATGGAACAAGAAGTGCTGAGAGAAAATTCTGTAGAAGGGGCTGAACGCAAGTGAGGGCAAAGAGCGGTGGTGTGGGGGTCCTGGCGGGGAGGGGGGTCGTTGCCATCGGGGTATCTGAGCAGGATGGTCACAGAGGCTGTACACATCCACAGCGGAAGGTCCGAGCTCTGGCAGTGATCCAGGGACTGATGGGGGTGGTGGAGGGGGGAGCGGCGAGGTACCTGTGTGAAGGGGGATGGAGTGGAGGGAATGAAGGGGTGTATCAGGCATGCGCTGCTGAACAAAGGAGCACAGGTAGGTCCGCGTGTGCACATGTGTGCGCGTGTGTGTCTGTGTGCCACAAGTGAGTGTGAGCATGCATGTCCACTGGCTCCCAGTCCCAGGAGGAAGGTCCATCCCCTCCTCCCACCTCCGCTCTTCTCCTCCCCCAGGGCCCTGTCTCTTCAAAAGCAAACGCTGACCAGAGCGAGAGTCCAGTGGAGGGACTGTTTGCATGGTGCACAGCTGACCTGGGATGGCTCCCCGGCATCTCACAGGGTCCCTGCTGTCAGCCCGGAGGGATGCCTGAGCACAGATCAGGAGTGTGCCTGACTGGGTGTGCCCCTTCCAAAAACAAACAAACAAACAAAAAATTCAACCAAACAAAACCAAAACAAGAACCAAGCATGTCCTGGAAGGCTGCTCTGGATGTCCACCTCCCCCCTAAGCGAGGCCCGCAGCGGTCAGCTTGCTCCACCTCCTTCCCCCCCCAAGCCTTTTGCTTTGTTTGTTGGGGGCCACACCTGCTGGTGTTCGAGGGCTCCTGTCTGGGAGCTCAGGGGCCACTTGCATGAGAGGGACCATGCGTTGTGGGGGATGAGACCCGGGGTGCCTGTGTGCTCAGCCTCTGGACTTAGACTCACTTCGTCTTGATTTCCAGGTCGTCGTGGCTGGAGTGGCACATCTCGCTGAAGCGTGACACGAAGAAGTCGTAGCTCCGGTGGTAGGACGGCGTGTCCTCCTCGATGTTGGCGAACTTCACAAACTGTGGAGGAGGAGAGTGAGGAGGGCGTGAGCGGTGACTGTCTCGCTTTTTTTTTGTTTTGCTGGGGGAGGGGGTGTCACACCCAGTGGTGCTCAGGGTTACTCCTGATTCTGTGCTCAGGAATCACTCCTGGCTGTACTCAGGGGACCATATGGGATGCTGGGGATGGAACCCAGGTCAGCCACGTGCAAGGTAAACGTCAGACCTGCTGTGCTATAGCTAATGTCCCACTCCTGGGGGGGGGGGTGTTGCTGGGATCTGGACTTGCCGAACCCCAGAAACATTCCCCAGAGCCACACTTGGCAGGACCCGGTGCTGGTCTGCCTTCCGCTGCACCCCTGGGAGACTCCCTGTCCATCTTTTCCTTTTCTGTCTACTGCACAAGCTTGGAACCACATGCTCTCAGCCTTCCCTGCTGGGTGAGCAGATGGTGGATGAGAAGATGAAGGGGCTCATGGACTCCTGCTCCCTTTCTGCATCCAGAGTGATACCATGCTCATGGCTGAAAGGCTGTCAGGAATAACGCCAGGAATTGCCAGCGCCCAGAACCCCAGAATGCATTGTGGGACAAGAAACCTCTAAAGTAAGGAGTGAAAATGTAGTGCATGCCCAGCACACAAGAGGCCTCGAGTTCGATCCCCTGCACTGCTGGGCTGAGCACTGAAGCACCACTATGACCCAGAGTGGCCCTGGGCCCCCGGGGCAATACTGAGGAGGTCCCTACAAAATGCAATGACATTTTGTTTTTGTTTTTTTTTGTTTTATTTTGTTTTGGGGCTACACTTGGTGATGCTCAGGGGCTACTGCTGGGTCTGCACTCAGGAATCACTACTGGTGGGGTTCTGGGAACCAAATGGGATGCTGGGGATTTATCTGGACCTGCTGTGTGCAAAGCAAGCACCCTACCCAAGCACTGTGCTATCTCTCCAACCTCTGCAATTACATTTATCATTTATTTATTGCTTTTTGGGTCACACCCAGCGATGCTCAGGGGTTACTCCTGGCTCTGCACTCAGGAATTACTCCTGGTGGTGCTCGGGGGACCATATGGGATGCTGGGAATCGAACCTGGGTTGGCTGCGTGTAAGGCAAATGCCCTACCCACTGTGCTATCACTCCAGCCTTGCAATTACATTTTGGTGTTAAGAGTTAGATAAAGAGACTAGAGCGATGGTATGGTGAGTAGGGCATTTGCCTTGCTGCAGCTGACCTGGGTTCGATCCCTAGCTCCTCATATGATTCCCTGAGCATAGCACATCCCTGACCACAGAGCCAGGAGTAAGTCCCCGACCCCCACCAACAAAATTATAATGAGAGTGATAGAGAAGAAAAGTGTCTGCCATAGAGGTAGGTGGAAGTAGGGTGTGGAGGTGGCAAGAGGAAACTGGGGACATTGGTGGTGAAAAACACGCACTGGTGAAGGGATGGGTGTTGGAACATTGTATGACTGAAACACAATGATGAACAGCTTTGTAACTGTGTACCTCACAGTGATTCAATAAACTGTAGCACTGTAGCACTGTCCTCCTGTTATTCATGGATTTGCTCCAGCAGGCCCAGTAACTTCTCCATTGGGATACTTTTGTTACTGTGTTTGGCATATTGAATACCTCAAGGGTAGCTTGCCAGGCTTTGCAGTGCAGGCGAGATACTCTTGGTATCTCCGAGAGGGGCAGAGGAATTGAACCACTGTCACTGACTGGCCACCCTAAAGGCAAACGCTCTACCCACTGTGCTATCGATTCATTAAACAAACAAATAAATACGGTCATGGTCACGGTCCTCCTGTTGTTCATCAATTTGCTCGAGTGGACCCAGTAACATCTCCATCATGAGACTTGTTGTTACTGTGTTTGGCATGTTGAATACGTCACGGGGAGCTTGCCAGGCTTTAGCTTGCCAGGCTTTGTCCTGCGGGAGAGATACTCTCGGTAGCTTGCCAGGCTCTCCGAGAGGGGGAGAGGAATCAAACCCAGCTCGGCCAGGCTGGCTGCATGCAAGGCAAATGCCCTACCACTATGCTATCACTCCAGCCCAAATAAATAAATAAATAAATATTTTTTAAAAAATTAAATTAAAATTTGAGGTGCCCCAGGGGATACTTCTGGCAAACTTGGCCCTACAGGGCCTGCTGATGTGGAGTCACCAGGGCCAGATCTGGTGGTGTCAGCCTGCAAGACACGAGGTCCTGCCTTAGTGTTCATTCTCACCCTGGCCCTTTGAGCAAAATCTTCAAGTTTGCCCTCCTCAGTTCTGTATGTCCTGATTCCCCATGTGCTCAGGAGTTCCAGAAACATCGATCAAAGTGGCCTTTGGCACTATGACCTTCCTCAACCCGCAAAGGCTAGAACTCAGATGAGGCTGACACCAGCCTCCAGCTAAACTTAGGGGTGTTGTGTTCTTCCCATGACAGGACGTTTCCAGGCTGCACTGCCCACAGATAATGCCTGACTGGGTTAGGGTGTCAGTCACTCAGAGGGGACAGGAAGCACTCTGGGCATCTCACTGAAGATTCCCCCCTCGACCTTACTGAGATGTGACCTGGGGGCCAGACTTTCACTTTCGCTTACATCACATCCTCCCTGGGTCCGAGATAAATAATCCCGTCTTTATGACTTCATTTATAGTGCATCCACTTCCAAGATGAGGAACCGCTTACAGCAGTCCTACTGTGGACGCAAGACTACGTACATGTTAGGGAGTTTAGAACAACATGGAGGGGTAGGCATGCTAAAGAGGAGAAACTGTCCCCCACAGACTTGGACACTAACTCTTGGTGACGGAGACCGAAATGGGTGCCAGGAGAGTGAAAACCAGCCCGTTCACTGGCTCACTCAGGAGTTCCCGAGCAAAGGACACTGAGTGTGGCCCACCCTCTGTAGCCTGTCCCAGCTCAGCGTTTATTTCTTCAGATGACTCTAAGTGATAAGGGAAGATTCTCGGTTTACAGACTGAGACAGGAGACCCACAGACCATCTGCCAGGGTGCTGGAGGTATAGCTCAGGTCTCCAGCCCCCAGGTCTGACTCTGCTCCCAGCTTCTCTGGGTGCCATAGGCTGAGTTTAAAGGAGGCTGCTCGGGGGAGCGCGCACAGGGGACATTGTTGGGGAGGAAAAAACAGTGACCAGGGGTGCCCCAAGTTTGATTATGCAGGTAGGTGTGGGCGAGACGGGAGGAAGTACAACCGGAGGAGTGTGGTGTGGGCGTTGGATCCCAAACGAGGGGACACGGGGACCAGTGGAATGACCCGAGGCCCACAGGTCACTGCCAGGGTCTTTGGTGCCCTTTATTCCTCTCCGGCCCCCGTGCCCGCCCTGCACATGTCTGAACAGATTCCTGTCTTTGTGGGACGGGACGTGGAGCAAAGCGCCCTGCATTGAAGTCTCTCCCACCGAAGAAGCATTGGTCTGAAACGCTGGCGAGGGGTGAGCTGTGCAGCTTAGACGGGACACCCACTCGCCACCAAGCCCAATCTCTGCTCTCCGCACAAAGGGTCCCTTTCACTGAATTTTCCCTTTGTTAACTACCACGGATGCATCGGAATTTAGGCGTTTGTCTTTGTCTTGCTTGCACAGCTGACCTTTCACCTTCGTAATGTGAAATGACTTATGTCCTGCTGCCTTGCTGGGCCATATCTGACTCTGCTCGCCCCCGCCTCTGTGCAAAGGGGTCACTCCTGGTGGGGCCTGGGGGACCACAGGAGGTGTGAGAATCGAACCTATGTTGGCTGCCTGCAAGGCAAGACCCCTGCTCACCTTCCCATCTCTCCAGCCCTTGTCCGGACTCCCTTGGCGTAGGGTATCACTGTGGAGAGCTGGCCCCTGGGCTGTCTCCGCACTGGACAGGAGGGGGCACAGACTCCGTGAGCAGTGTCAGGTTCTGGGCTAAGCACCACGGATGAGAAAGACTTTACCTGCTTCCTTCCAGGCTGTTTTTTTTTTCCTTTTTAATTTTATTGAATCACTGTGAGATAGTTATAAGCTTTCGTGTTTGGGTTACAATCACACAGTGATCAAACACCCATCCCTCCACCAGTGCACATTCCCCACCACCAACATCTCCGGCATAACCCCCATTCCGACCCTCCCCCTGCTTCCATGGCAGACATGATTCCCCATAATCGCTCTCTACTTTGGGGCATTTTGGTTTGCAATACAGACCCTGAGAGGTTACCATGTTTGGTCCTTTATCTACTTTCTGTACACATCTCCCATCCCGACTGATTCCTCCAGCCATCTTTTTCTTAGTGATCTCTTCTCTATTCCAGCTGCCTTCTCTCTTTTTTTACTCATGAGGACAGGAATTGAGGCTAACCACTTCCAGGCTCTTTTTAACTCGGTATAAATGAGGCATCTGGTGTCTGGGCCTCGGAGCTGCTGGTCTGCTTGTCCGGGCGCTGGTCTTTATTCAGCACCTTGCTGCTTCTGGTAGAGTCAAACCAGCTGTGGGCAACCAGGACTTAGATGCTGCTCTGACGGCCCTGGGGGCAGCAGGCCACGCCTCTGGGTGCTACACAGTGACGGGGTTCAACCCCCACAGAGCTCTCGGCTGGAGCCCCATTGGGAGCAGCATGGATGGACTGGTGCTCTGGACCTTCACCGTCCACTGATTCTGATGGACTTTCCTCTTGTTCCAAGAGCTGGGAGAGGGGGGCGGGGCGGCGGGGTGGGGGAGGCTAGAAAAAGTTCGAAGGCTGAAGGCGTCTCCTGCTGGGCACTTGGGAGTAGCCTTTTTTTTTTTTCTTTCTTTTTTGGCTTTTTGGGTCATACCCAGTGATGCTCAGGAGTGACTCCTGCCTCTGCGCTCAGGAATGACTCCTGGTGGTGCCTGGGGGACCATATGGGATGCTGGGAATCGAACCCAGGTCGGCGGAGTGCAAGGCAAACGCTCTCCCCGCTGTGCTACCTCTCCAATCCCGGGAGTAGGCTTTTAGCCTCTCCATAAGCTAAAATCCAACCCAACCCAAACCAAACAACCAGGAGCCCCGGGGCGTCAGGAGC